GTCCTATGAGGAAAATTTATACCAATGAACTCTCAGATCAGGAAAACAAAACAAATTCAAATAAACAAGCTAATGTTGAACCTCAGACTTCTAGAAAAAGAAGAACAAATCAAACCCTAAGCTCATACAATGGAGGAAATTATAAAAAGCAGAAATCAACATGATTGAGACTAAGAAAATCACCTAAAGAATCACTGACTAGAAAAGTTTGTTTTTTGAAAGAATAAATAAATTTGATAAACCATTAGCCAATCTCATCAAAAAGAGAAAAGAAAAAACACAAATTGAAGCAATAGGAATGAAAAGGGAGAAATCACAGCAAATCCTGCAGAAATCCAGAAGATCATCAATAGCTACTATGAGTATATTCTAATAATACGGAAAACAGAAAAACAGATTCCTAGACACAATTGAATTGCCAAAGCTAAACCAAGAAGATGAAAAAGGCTAAATATCCTGATACCAGTCTATTAAATTGAAAATTCAAGTAAAATTTACCAAAAGTAAAACCCAGGCCCTGCCTGATTTGATTCATTATCAAATTCTATGAGAAATTCAGAGAAAAACTAGTGTCACTAGTGCTGAAATTATTTAAGGAAATTGAAATGTAAACAGTACTTCCAAAATCATTCCTGGAAGCAAATATTACTCTGATTCCAAAGCCAAAGAAGTACCCAATTAAAAAAGAAAAGTATAGGCCAATCTCCCCAATACATGCAAAAGTCCTCAGTAAGACACTGAAAAGAATGTAACAAATCATCAAGATTATATAGCATGACCATGAAGCATTCATCCTAGTGATGCAGGTATGGCTTACCATATGCAAATCAATAAATATAATACTCCATATTAACAGAAACAAAAATCATACAACTAGGCCAGGGATATAGCTCAGTGGTACAGTGCCTGCCTGGCAAGCATGAGGTTGTGAGTTCAATTTCTGATGTAAAAAAAAAAAATCACATGACCATCTCAGTGATGAAAGAACTGCTCTTGACAAAGTCCAACACCCAGTCATGATGATGGTCATACATAAAATTTGAATAGATACTCCTACCTCAATCTGATAAAAGCCATCTATGAAAAACCAACAGTTTGTATCACAATAAATGGCCAAAATCTGAAAGCTTAAACTTTTAAATGAGGAATAAGACAAGTATATCTACTATAACTCCCATTCAACATAGTTCTGGAAACAAACCAGAGCAATTAGACAAAAGAAAGAAATAAAAAGAATAATGATAGGAAAGGAGGAAATTAAATTATCATTATTTGTAGAAAACATGATACTTTACATAAAAGTCCTCAAAACTCCACCAAAAGACTTCTAGATTTAAAAACCAAATTCAGAGGTATTACTAGTTACAAAATCAATAATTAAACATCTACAGTATTCCTGTACACAAGCAACAAACTCACACAGAGAAATTAGGGAAACTATGTCCTTTATTACAATAGCACCCCCCCAAAAAATGAAATACTCAGAAGGGAATCTAATGAAGGAAGTAAAGATCTATACATTGTAAATACAATACTCTGAAAAAGGAGATGGAAGAGGATGTCAGAAACTATAAAGCAATCTCTTCCTCATGGTAGGAAGAACCAACATAGTGAAAATGATCTTACTTACAAAGCTGATATGCAAATTTAGTGCAATCTCAATCAAAATACCATTAGCATATCTCACTGAACTAGAAAAAAATTATTCTTAAAATTCATTTGGAACAGAAGATACCTAGAATACCAAAAGCAATTCTGGGCAATAAAGGCAACTCAAGGTGTATCACAATCTCTGACCTGAACCATATTATAAAGTTACTGTGATAAAATGAGCATGGTACTGGCCCAAAAAAAAGACTTGAGGAGTACTGGAACAGAATAGAAGTTGCAGATATAAAACTCCAAACACACTCAGACATCTTATCTCTGACGAAGGACTCAAACGTGTTCACTGGGAGAAAGTCTCTTTAATAATTGGTGCTGGAAAAAATGGCTTTCTAGGGCCAGAGGTTTAGCTCAGTGGCATAAGTGACTGCTTGGCAAATGTGAGGTCATGAGTTTGATCCCTGATACCAAAAAGAAAAAAATGCTTTCTACATTCTGACTACTAATGCTAGATACCCAAGTCCATCACCATGCACTAAAGTTGAAATGGATCGAAGACCTGAATATTAAAACAGAAACACTAGGGGCTGGAGGTTTAGCTCAGCGGCATAAGCGCCTGCCTTGCAAGCAGGCAGTCGTGAGTTCGATCCCCGGTACCGATAAAAAAAAACAGAAACACTAAATCTACTTGAAGAGCAAATAGGTAGAAACCTTGAAGACCTGAAGACCTGAGTGTAGGCAAAGACTTCATGAACAAAACTCAAACTGCACAGGAAATACTTCAAGGAATCAAAAATGGGATCTCATCTCATTAAAAGACTTTCGTACAACAAAAGAAATCACCAACAGGGAGAAAAGAGAACACACAGACTGGGAAAAAATTACAACAAGTTGTCCCTCAGACAAAGGAATTATCTAAAACATATAAAGGACTGGAAAAAATCAGGTCCCCCAAATTCAAGATCTAATCAAAAATGGGCATCTGATATGAATAGACATTTCTCAGATGAATAAATACAAATGATAAAGAAACATATAAAAATGTTCAACATCATTGGTCATTCAAGAGATGCAAATTAAAATAATGCTGAGACACCATCTCACTCCAGAAAGAATGGCTACCACCAAGAAATCAATGAATAACAAATGCTGTGAGGATGCAGGAAAAAGGAACCTTTTTTTTTGCTGAGAGTGTAGACTGGTGCAACCACTGTGGAATCCATGTGAGGTTTCTTTAAAAACTAGAATTAGAGGTCCCATTCAACCCAGCTACTCACCTTCTGGATATTTTCACAGACGAATAAAATACATCATACCACAGAAATATATGTGAACCCATGCTGAGAGAATCTGTAATAGCTAAATCTCAGGAACAACCCAAATGCCCATCAACCATGGAATGGATAAAAAGAGATGTGGGGTTTTTTTTAATATAATGGAGTATTAGTCAGCCATAAAGAAGGATAAACTTGAGACCTTTACAGGTAAATGAATACAACTACAGTGTATACTCAAAAGTGGAATAAATCAGACCCACATGTAAGTTTCTCTAGTGTGAGAAACTGAAAACTGAACCAGTAAATAAGATTCAAAATACACAATAGACATTTTGAATTGGGGAAAAAACTGTTCAAAAGAAAAGAAAAACTGTGATGCTGGAAAGGTAAAAGAAGGAAAGAAAGAAAAAGAAAGAAAGAAAGAAAGAAAGAAAGAAAGAAAGAAAGAAAGAAAGAAAGAAAGAAAGAAGAAGAGAGAGACAGAAAAAAAGAAAAAAGGTGAAAGAAAAAGGAAAAATATATATACACATGGTAGTTAAGACATTTATACAAGTAATGTTTCTTAGCTCACTGAAAAGAAACTTTGGTACTAAGATTGTCTGGACACTACTTCATGCCTGTATCTTCTGCTCTGAGTAACTACAATGAGGATAAGAAACCACAATTGTAACTCTCCTATTTTGTAACTCTTTTTTTTTTTTTAATCAGGGATCAAATTCACCACCTTATGTTTGCCAGGCAGGCGCTTATGCCACTGACCTAAATCTCTGGCCCGTAACTCTCCTATTTTTAAACTGTTTTAATTATTTTTTATTTTTTTCTTTCAAATTAAAAAAATCATCCATCTTAGAAAAAAAAAAAAAAAAACTGGGCTCATTCCTGTAAGAGGGGCCAGCACCTTCAGGGTTATGGACCACATTTTTCTGGGGTTCCCACCCCCTAAAGAGAAGCATGAATGTTCTCAGCTCCAGAAAACATTGTACTCCTCACTCAGGAGGCCCAAACCCTTATTTCTTGAATATGTACTTTTAAATTAATTAAAAGTACATATTAAATTAAATTTTAATACAGACTTTTATTCTCTACTGATATGCCTGAAATATTCTGTACTAAGCGAACCTCAAACTTATTTTGCAGGTAGAAAGCATTGCATCTCTAATCACTACTTGGGGAGCCACTCCCCAATGCTATTGGTCACTGCTCACCCCACATCCTGCCTCCATTTCCAGTTAGAGAAGAACCAACTGATCCCCAGCTGTGGGGTGCTGCTTTGATCTCATCATCTCAAATAGGGTCCTGGTTTCTGTTCACAAATTTTCATTCATTCTACAAAAAGACATGGGTGTGGGAACCTATATTATTGCCAGCACTGTTGCTGAGGGATGTGGACCTACACGATCTTAGCAGAGAATCCACAGACCAAACGCATGCAGTCCACTAAGGTTAACTTTGACTTCCTGAAAATAGACATGAAATCATTTACTTGAGCTACAGATGAGGCGACGTGTCTACATGGTAAGATCAATAAACTTTGAGGAAGAATTCTATAAAAATGATAGAAGAAGGTCAGGCATCAATTGATCCCATTCTTAGGAACAAAATCAATGGAAGATCATAGACGTCCAGGTATCCCATGCCTCCAAACCAGGAGAAATCTTGGATTATCTGAGAAAAGCAGCCATGAGACACAAGGCGCCCAGGGCCACGGGTCATTCTTCAGCCTTGAATATTTTCTGAGGACCTGCAAGGCCTCTGCTTTCAAGCTGGTTGCTGAAAGTGTAATAACAAATCAGAATTGTAGACAGGATGCTATCAGTTCTGATGGGGGAAAGATAAGAATTGTCTGTTTATGTTTACACTTGGCTACTTAGAGCTCATGGATTCTAGTTTCCTCTGTCCTGGAATTCAGATAGGATCAGATAGGATGACAGGACAAGACCTGAAAATAAAAATGTGTCACACCAGCCCGCAGCTTCCATGGATCACATCAAGAGCTCCCAGTTACCCGAGACTTTCTTAAACTGGCCCCTGTGTGCCTTACAACCTCAGTTGACTAAAGCCTCACAAATACAGTCACCCTGGCTGCTGTTTCTAGACTGAAAGGATGTGGATACTCACCACAACCGCCAGCACTGAGGTACGAGACCCTGACTCTCCCTAGGGCTGGAGATGTGGCCTGGAGCTCCTGATCGTCGTATTTCTGTCCACATCAGCAGAAGCTCTGAGACTGGGCTGCCACTGAGGCAGCCGGACAATGCAGAGGCACCTGGGCCTGTCAGACCAGTCCTGCTTCTGAGGGTGGGAGCTAGGCAAAGGTGAGTCATAGCTGGGTGACACCCATAGATGCTCCCAGGAGCGCAGCCTATCTTAGGGAGGATCCAGGCTGCAGTGGGGGCATAGGGTCTGTGGGGGGTGTGGGAGGTACCTGACCTTGGAAGCCACCCGAGCCCAAACCATTTATGGGTGAGCAGACAGAGCAGGGGTTCTGGACCTGGAAAAGGCAGGGCCTGGTCCCCTAACAGAGCAGGGCCCACCAGTGCAGCCCCCAAGCACCTCAGCCCACCTTTCTGCCATGATGATGCTCCAACTGTGGTGCAGTCGAACCCCAGCTGGCTCATTTCCTTGAGCATCTCCTGTCTTATTGGGATCCCCACGACCAGGCTCGGGATAACACAGCCTGAGCCTCGTTCCACCTTCTGGTTTCAGCTTAGAAAAGCCTTCTCCCAAAGAGATTGTCATTATTCAAAGACTCTAACCCATGCTGCCTTCTATTTGTTAAAACCCAGCTGTGATGACTCATGGTTGGTTTTGGCTAGCTGAGAAAAATCAGGCCCTCTGTGAGCCCTGAACAGAGTAGGGAGACAACCACTTCTATCTGCTATGGGCAAGAGAAGTGCTGTGGAAGATGTTTTCTTGAAAAATGAGAGAACCACATGAGAAAAAAAAGTCATCTTATTCTCAGTCCCATGTCCTGCCTGTCTCCTTTCTGGATCTAGAAGCCATGAAAGGATGGGATGTCTCTGCTAGGGCAGTCACTTTGCAACCATGAGGCATATGCCAATGTGTTGAGGATGGGAAAATGGAAAACACTTGGTCCTTGGTAACATTACACACCCACAAAGCTGCCAAAGACATGCTGAGCTGTTCATTGACCCCAGACATTAGGCTTACATGAGCCGGAACCCTCATGTAACTTCCAGGTGACACTGCACCATGCACAGCCAGTCCTCAGGAACCTGTCCTTCATGGCTGTTGCTGTTAGTGTCCCCAGGTGATTTAAATGAACCCCACCGCATTCTCTTTTAAATCCAACTCCAAAGCCATGACTTTTCCACATCTATTCAATGCAACTAGACACACGGATCTCTTGAGAGGAGTCAACGACCACATTCTGTAACTTCTCCTGGTCTGGGTGGAGCAGGAGTGCCACACAGGAGGGAATGGAGACACAACCCTAGGGGTCCCTGGCAAAAAACCCTGGACCCTTCAGGGTGCAGGAATCTTTGAGGCATTCAAGTCCTCAGGAGTCAACAAGACAGGACACTTGTGAATCTATCACCCTGACCAGGCTGCCACCTTTTTCTCCAAGTGTGGAACAGTAAGGAAGGGGTATAAGTCATGGCAAGAACTTATTTTACATCTCTTGGGTTAAGTCAAAAGACAAAATGCAAAGTGATTACTAAGCACACAGTCAGGCTGGCAAATTCCACAACCCGCCCACTTCCCTCTACCAGGCAGCACTGTGCTTGGACAAGGCTAGGCAGGCAGATGAGGTTGTTCTGGGATACGTTTAATGGGCAGGAGCCATGGTTTTATTTGCAAATACCCTGGTTTCTTGTGTGTCTGGTATCTGCAATGTACAGACAGTTGGAGCTGAGCTTAGTCTGCCACCTAGTGGCTAGTCAATTTCTTTTGGGGAGTTAAGGTTTTTGGTTTTTGGTGAATAAATCACAAAAGTTGTTTGAAAAAATGTACACTAAGAAATGAAAAATGATCCCTTAATGCCTACATGTGATCATGTAACAGAAATATAAAGAAACCTATTGGGTCATCAAAGCTATTCTCTTACCAATAGGAAAATTTGATGCTCAGAGTTCATATCATCTAGAGAAAAACAGTGAAAGTAGAAAAACTCTGACTCCCTATCCTATCCCTTGGGTGCCCATCACTTTCCAAGAGTGTACAGGATAAGGCATACTGTCAAAGGCATGGGCTGCAAATCTCATCCCTGAATGGTGTGTGGGCCAAGCTGCTTATCCTTCCGAGCCATCTCCCGTCCCAGAAGGGAGACACTAACCACAAAGGGTGGCCGAATGATAAGATGACCAAAGTGACTGTTTGCAGTCATCCTTGATAAGCACAGCATCAACCTCAGCCATGAATAGGTGACATACCTATTTTTAAAGATGAAACCTTGAGCAAAGTGATTCCCTTGGAGTGCAGTGGAAGGAGTAGATGTGGTAAGGTTGTGTGTGGAGCTCCTGCAAGTGCTTCCTGTGATGGCCTTGAGACTGCCCAGCTGAACACCTGAATACCTGAAAGGAAAAGATGGGAAGCCAGGAGTGGGGCTGAAGATCAGGGGAAGAGCAGAGCCAACCCCACCTTTGGTTCTCTGATTTGTCTACTAAATGTTTGCTGATTGAGCCATTTCAGGTTACCCAAGATCAGCAGTTCACAAGCATGGTCCACAGTGTCATGGGAAAGCCCCTTTCCCAATACTAAGCTGCTGCCGGCTGTGCACTTGCAGTGGAACGGCAGAAACACAGGCTCACGAAGTGGCTGGGTCAGCATGGGCACTCATCACCTACCCAATGGGTGCACCTCACTTGACCTGTGCATCTCTGTCTACTGGGTCCCTCTTCTCAGAAATTCACATACAGCACAAAGACAACTAAGCATCCTGTACCAGACCTTTATGAGTGGGAGTAGTCTAGAATGTACAGGCTTAGATACTAAAGTGATGCTGGCTTCACAAAAGGAACCGGGAACTTGTCCACATCAGTTAGCAAAACTACAGTCCCATCTGGCCTGGCTGTCTTTTTTCAGTGGTAGAGCTTTAAAGGCATTTCCAACTTACGTTGTAATTAAAATTTTTAGTTTTTAGGGAATCAATACAGATTATCCTAAAGCTTTGTGACTTAACAGATGGTGACACAAATCTTATGATACATATTTTATTCAGTCCTTTATAACAACTGTTTTCTCTGTTAGACATCTGATAAAGATACTTGACTATAAAGATACTGGTAACGACACTTGTATCTTCTATACTTCTCTATAAAGACACTTGTAGCTATGCCCCCATTGAATGCTGTTATTCACTGAAGCACAGCACAGAGATAAACAAGGAGAGAACTCTTAATAAACCTGATGTCATCTCGAAGAGTATGTCTCCCTTCTTGCAGTCCATGTACATAATCCAGCAGAGTAAGCACACTTTATCTCCTTCACTCTGCTATCCTACTGAACAGGATTTAGACCCAAGACATGGGTCTTTTAAAGAAATCTGCGCTGGAGGTGCACACCCGTAATCCCTGCTGTTCAGTAGGCTGACATAGAATTGCAAGTTCAAGGTTGGCCTGGGCAACTCAAGGATCAAAAGGAAACAAAGGAGGTGGATGTGCAGCTCAATGGGGGCCCTTGCCTATCATGCACAAGCCCATGCTCCATCCCTAATACTATGAAACCTAATAGACAATATCTGCATCTGCAGTCTGGGGCAGCTCATCAGAGGTCTAAAGGTCACACTGCTCCCTCGTTTAAGTCCAAATCTCTAAGCATTTTAGGAAGGATTTTTGTTGGAAACTGTAGTTGCTTATTTCATCTAAAAGGAAATATTTTATCAGGTTTTCTCATTCGTAGAATGTTTTTCATTGCAGTGGTGGTTTACCACAGTGTTTCAATGTATATGCTAAAGTGATTTTAGAAATAAGCCATTTCTGTCATATCAAACTGGATTTGGCATTCTGATCAAGTGTTTAGGTCTATTTCTAAAAATGCACTGTACCATGCAATGTTAGCAAATGGTTTCCTCTAGTTAAGAATTATTAGTGCATTTAAAATACTGTACTTTGTATTAGCTATACCAATACAATTTTGGAGGAACTGCAAATTAATAAAGTTTTGGACTCTAATAGGCAAGAACACCAATCATTGCAACATAACCACACTAGTATGCACAACAGAAAAACCTATTGGATCTATACAAAAACCCAGATACCTATTACTAAGTTTACTTTCCTTATATGAAGTTAGCTGATTCTGTAAATAACAATAAAACAAATATGGTAATGATTTAAGATTCAGCTTCAATATTTCAACACCCATGCCCAAATCTCTCTTGAATCTTTATTGGAAAAATAATAGATCCACTGGAGTTCAACTGCCATCTACTGCTATTTCTTAGAACAGCACTAAATCTGTAACCTGTATCCACACACAAACATGTGAGCAAAGACTGGGATGAACCAGTTGCAAGGTTTAACTCAAGTGCATGGATAAGAAGCTCACTCACCGCACTGCCAGGCTTTTCTGCCTAGCTTTACACAGGCCAATAAAAAGCAACTTGGTTTTTACTGTGATTTTTAAACTGCAATGTCTTGACAGCTACTTTCCACACTGCTTCCTTCTGTTCATCTCTGTTCAGAAAGCCTAACGCCCGATACAGCCTATTTCCAGCAAGGAATCAGCCCCACACACCCGAGGAAGCGCTCTGGCAGACCCCTGCTGTCCTCTTTGTCCACCTCTGCTCTTTCCTAGGACCATTTCAGTGGTGGGTTCAGAAATCCAGCACTTATGAGCAAGTCTGTGCCTGAGGATCCAAGCAACAGGTAACAGGCTCTAGGAAGGCTGTGGGCAGGTTCAAAACCCTTTGGATCCTATTTCCATCTCCTTATGAGCTACTAAGCTCTCCGTGCAAACCCCCACTTCTCAGATGATAGAAAAGTCTGAATTGTAGTTTTCTCACTGACACTGGTTTTCCTGTTTCCAGTGCTGAGAACCTCATCTCTGGTAAACTCATCACTCACTTTGAAGCAGGTGCACTCTGTTGGCAAGGCAGGCAGCAACCCTGAGTGACAGGACCCAAGAAAGAGGCTCTGTGTTTAAAAGAGGCTTCCTTTCTCTTCACCTTACCTAACTTATATGCTAACCAACACTGTAAAAAAGTTCTTGAAAACAATGAAATAGCAACTTTCAGTTTTTTTAAATCAATTCCACGTCCAGCATGCTACAAGGTACTTCACATAGATCCCTGACTCTATCAGTTAATAAGGGTTAGGGCCAGGGTTCTACAGAAACACACTCAAATAATAAATCTGTCATCATCTCTAAGAGTATGTCTCCCTTCGTGCAGTTCAGTAAGTCACACAAGTCTAGAGCTTTTAATGCTGTCATTTTTTCTTTCTTTTATTTGGAAAATTCAAAATAATATAATTTCAATAATCTAGTATGCTAAAGTTAAAGAATAATCAATAAAGACAACTGGCAATACAATTTTTTATTCATTTTTCTTTTTCAGAGAGAACATGCTGTTTGGTTTTTGTTTCTGTTTCTTTACAGCACCTGTAAACAAGTCAGTGAGTATACTATCTTGAGAGTCCATACATAGAGCTTTTGGAATGTTACCAACAACATCCACTGCATTACATAAGAGTTACTGAAGGCAAGTTGGTCTAAAACAGGGATAAAACTTTATAGCTAAAAATATTCATAGCAGCAACTTTTAAAGGATGATTTTATTGAGTCATTGCACTTGGTCATTTTATTGCCACAGAAAAACAAGGCCACTAAATTATAACACTTCTCATTTCTGATGTTTACTGATTGTCTCATCCTACTCATACATTTCAAGTTTAAATACAAGCACAAAATGTTTCTCAAAAGAGAGTACGAAGCACGTAGAATTTTTCCTTCCTGCGATCACAACAAAAGGCATAAAAAGAGAAATCTGTTACACAAGGCCCATTCTCTCTGTGCATCTTCAGACTTCAAAGTTCTGGAAAGTTCTGTAGAGGTAACAGCTTTGTGAGAAAACAGAACACTAGTGGTCACAAATATACCAAAAACAGGAAAAAAAAATAACTTTTAAGTACAATTAGGAATATTAGGTGTTTCAAAGAACAGCAAACCTGAACTATACAATAATTTAGCAATCAATACCATGCTAGTCTCCTTTATTCTATTATTGTCTCACAAAGGGACAAAACTAATGATCTACCCCCAGTAAAGGCTGCAATGATTGTTGTGTGGTGTGAACTTTCAGAACAGTAACAGAAGTTCTCAGATCAAGAACACACACTCCTAAATTGTTATATTAAAGGATTTTTTCCCCTTCAAATTTCAGCATGCTTGATTGGCTTTATATTTTTATAAAAGGCAGAATGAGAACTACGTGAGACTGCGAAACAGACACAGAACTTCAATGAATCATCTATTCCAACTGAAGTACACACAAGCAAAAGCTTGTATTTCAGCACTCACTAGCATCTTGGTTTCATGTGTACTAATGAAAAATGATCAAAAAAAGCCAAAACTATGCTGGAACCTTCCAGTCAGGTGGGGAGGGCTAATCTACAAATCCTCTACTACGAGATGAAAGATGATTTATAAGATGCAGTCCTTTTTTTTCTTCCTAAGGATTGCCATTAAAAGAAGATCTAATTTATTTAAGAAGATGGAAATCATTTGATTGCTCATTTAAAAATAAAACAGGAGGGAACAATTTTATTGAGTACTTATCTCATTACAAGAGTCCCCAAACTATAGTTAAAATGTACATATTCAATGCACAATTAGCTTTCCCCTCCAAGCCCAAAAGCTATAAATTATACAGTAGGTAAATGGCTATGGGCATTTCTATTATTTTCTACCTTCTCTTTTATTTGGAAACAGGACACAAAACACCATTTACACAAAATTTCTGTATTTTGAGATTAAAACAAAGGACAAATATTGGTGTGGTAGCTTAAAACAAAAAAAAAGGAAGCATAAGAACCAGTACTAATTGTTTTGTAAATAATGAAATTTCAAATTTTTGAATTTGTAACTAAAAGGTTTTAGACATAGCACCTACAGATGTATTTTATTATGTTTAATTGTTCATAGGTGACTCTGAAGAAATTAGAAATTCATCAAATATACCTATGAAGATATCTTTTTAATATAGTCAACTGCATTTGGTTTAAATAAGCTGTAATGATATATAACCCTTTTTCTAAATTTCTTACTTCAATAACAGTCCAAAATCTCTCCAAGAGTTACTTTGGGCTACCCGATCAATTCCAGGCAGTGAAACCTGAGTACCTGAGTATTCACATGGTGACCACTACCCAGCATGAAACCTCATCCTGAGGTTCTGAGGAGCTTGGGGTTGTTTTCCTACCATTGCCATTATGAAAAACAACAACAAGCTAGAGCATGACCAGATGGTGAGATGAGTACTATGTGAGACTGCAAAATCAGAAGAAAAGTTCAGCAATAAGGCTGGTGTTTGCATATTCCATACGTGCTGCTGTTTCTAGGCACAAGTAAATGATTAAATGGGTATTTTTAGATTTCTTAGAGCTAACGAATTTAAAATAAAGCTTGTACTTTCCCAAATATGTTTAACAATCCAATATATTTTAAATCAAATTCCTTTTATGAATCCTACAGTGCAAGCAATAGAAAACACTCTAAAAGTTGAAATTCTTTTTATTATTTCATTAGTTATTACTATAGGTTTGGGTGAGTAACTGGTTTCTAACTAGGAAACTCTGATTCCATCACCCAAAATATAAACAGCACTGCAGACAAACGGGCACAACAGTGTCATCCTGGATGAGAAGCTTAAAGTAAAAATATATATATAATATATATGTATATATGTACACACACAGTTTATATCCCTTATGTATTATGGGGAAAGTAGTGACTATAGTTACTATAAAGCGAATTTATCCCTCTCAAATAGTTTATCTTACAGATTATTTGGAAAGATATCACCATATTTATAGTATAGATCTCTTTAAAAATAATACTACAAGTTTCAATAAAAAACTATTATGAATTTTCTTTCCTTTTTATACAGATTCAGTAGTATTTTCAAGCAAACAAAAAAAAAAAAAATGTTTGCAATCCCAGCACAGTAAGAAATAAGGCCTCTTTTCATTTCATATTGGCAAAACAAAATATATATATATATGTATATAAAAATTCTACCCTCTCTAACTTTTCAATAGATAGTAAAGTTCATACACTGAAATTTCTTTATCACAACACCAGCATTTGATGTATTAAAGTCCAAGTCAGCTGAGTTCATAGTGTTGCTTCTGAATCCTTGGAACATTAACACACTGGGTCCATGGCACCTCAAAAAAACACAGCTTTCTTCAGCTTCTCTATTTCTGCCTAAAATATACAAACATAAATTGGGCAACAGATGAAATCTCTGGAATACAGTTTCTTTATTTTAGCCTATTCATTAATATGTAATCATATTTCTAAGTCTATAGATTTTAATTTCCAGATCTAAAATTCAACTTCCCATGGTGTGATACAACCATTAGATAAAGTTTCAACAGCAAAAAATGTTCCAAATAAGGTCCTAATGGCAGGTAATAAGAAAAAAGTGACACAGTTCTTTTAGCCAGAACAATATTCACAAGTATGTAAGCTTTGGAAATAAGCATTGTTAAGAAAATCCTGCAAAGAAAAAAAGAAGCCTGGAAACCAAATTAAGAAAGGTACATGCATTCAATTCATGGGAGGGGGCAGCACAGGACAGCAAAGGAAATAAAGAATCAGTGCAGCTTTATGCTCATCACTAATCTATATGACAATATTCAATCATGTAACTTCACCTGGCTCAAATTTATCATCTGTAAACAGTAGGCACTAAATTATCTTTAAATCCCTGGAATATATCCAGATTTAGTTAGTACGGTAGAAGTATTTACAGGAGAAAGCATCACTCACTTAATAGAAACTTACAAATTAAGTAACTTGATAAAAGGGAATTTTATAATTTTACAACAGAAAACCATTTAATTTTCACATATTACAAATAAAAGAGCTGCAGTTAAAGACATTAAACATTATACCATGTTCCTATATGAGCACCTGACACAGTTTGTAACAGGAAGGTGGCGAACCTATGGTATGAATTCCTTCTGCTGGCACATGAGCCAAGTCACCCCAGCAACTAAGTATCAGACAACAGTTGTTTTTTCTAAACTAAAACTTCAGTATTCAGGTTTAATTGCAGTGTTGGCACTTTGCGATAATTAAGTGGGTCATGCATTGCAGTTTGGGCAGTTGGTCTCTAAAAGGTTCACCATCACTGGTCTGGGTCAACAAAGCCCAGCGTCTGCACTATCTGTTTTCCGGTTCAAGAACATCATAGCCACAATGGTCCTGGACCTTCGATCACGTGTGCACATGTGCAGGCCTTGCTTTCTCCTGATGACACTAGCTCTCCCTTCAACAATGCACATAAATTATATACCCAACAAACTGTCCATCATTAAATCAGGAGAGCTTTGCCAGTCAGGAAGCATAATTCTGATATGCTCACAATCTCCTCAGCAATTCTAAAAATCCATGAATGACTTACTAATTTCAGGATCTTTCTTTTAATATGATCAGGATATTCTTTTAATATGATCATGAGCTAAATGTTTCAGCAGCACTGGATTAGAACAAGCCTCAGTTTTCAACCACCACTCATATTAAATACCTTTAAATCACCCATCTGATATACTATTATTGTCATTTTTCCAAAGATACATTAACCAATCATACAGTTTTGCTTCCTTGTTTGTTTGAGACAGGCTCTTTCTTGGTATGTAGCTCAGGTTGGCCACAAACTTACAATCCTCTTTCTACCACAGCCTCCCAATTAAGAAGAAAAAAAAAAAAAAACTAGTACAGGAAAGGGTAAAGTAAGAAAAGCTGGGCATGGTAGCACACACTTATAATCCCAGCACTCTAGAAGCTGAGACAGGAGGATCTTCATTAGTTCAAGGTCATCCTGGGCTCTACATAAGCAAGTTCAAGGCCAGCCTGCAATACATAGAGAGACCCTGTCTCAAAAACCCTGCCCTTCATCCCTGCCAAAGAAAAAGAATATGAAGAATTACTCTGCATGTAAAACCCGTAATATTCCTTACGAATTTCAATTTCTGCAAATATACTTAAGAGGCAAATGCTTACATTGTTATTCTCTCTTCTAGCAAAGTTCAGTTTTCATTTTTGCCATCTTTTATCACTGCCCAGTATAATTTAATACTGTGTAATGAAGTAGTACTTCAAAGTACTACTTTTAATCTTCAGGCAAACACCATTTCTCTCTTAACTATCTGATTCTGAAACTTTATGCATTAACTGGACTTTTACAAACATACGGATCATATTGCCCATTAGGAAAAAAAGAATGCAAATTAGTAGGTGTCCAATAGCTGACTATGTTGGAAAAAGAGATTCTCCAAAGAAGAAATTCATTTGACTTCCATCCTGATTTTCATGATAAATTTAATAACACTATTAGCTCCTACTGCTTATCATTTTCATGTAAAAATATGAACATGTATCTATAAAACAATAAAGGCTAGAAACATTAAAATTTCTCACAATTTCAACCAAGTAACATACTGGGAATTTAAGATTTCTCTTAAACATGTATCCTCCAACACTCACTACTGCGACAGTTTATCAGTTGCTAGCTGATCTGCATGGGGCACTGTGCTAGGAGTCACATCAAGGATAAAGCAGACAAGCTCACTATAGACCTTCCTGCAACTTAAGGGGCAAAATAAATATAAAGCAGTGAGAAGACACAAAATTTCTTCTTACACATCTCTATAGAAACCAGAAGAAGTAAACTTGAGAGAAAACGGAAGCTATTTTAATCAGAGAAAGAATACCACTAATCTGATGGAGATGACTGTTGGTTTGAATCCTAAAGACACAAAAAACAGCACTGGAAGATGAGGCAAAGACACACAAGAAAAATAGGAAGAGCAAACTCCAGAGGTATTCACTGTTCAGGAAAAAGAATGGCAAGCCAGGACAGAAGATAAAACAGGATCAGAATAATGTAAGAACTCTCACACCAGGTTAGGAGTTTGAACTCTATTCACAAAGAATACAAAACTCTTGAAAGTTCCTGAGCCAGGAGAGAGTGATCTGAGATAAGAATGAAATTCAAACAAGCCAAGCAGAAGACAAAAAATGTCAGAAAGAAAGAAGGAAGGGGGGAGGGAGGAAGGGAGGAGGAGGAGGACAAGAAGAAAGAGACAGAGACAGAGAAGGAGGAGGAGGAGGAGAGGGAAAAGGAGGAGGAGGAGAAGGAGAGGGAGAGGGAGACGGAGATGGAAGAGGAGGAGGAGAAGGAGAAAAAGGAGAAGAGGAGGAAGAAGAAAAAATAATTACAGTATGAATAATGAACAGATAAAAGCTAGGAATAGAACTGAAAATGAATGGAATTAGAAGTCTTGAGACCAGAAGTACCACCTCTGTGTGACAAGAAGGTCACACAGAAAATCAGATTCAACAGAAAGAGAAAATCGGAACAGCAGGAAAGGACAATGGCAAACTTAACTGGTGGCATGCTGAATTCACAATGGAACATGTAGGGAGACTAACAGGTAGACACATAGACAGAAACTGAGAAACTAAGAGCTAAATTAGAGGGAGGTGCACTGGAGCTCCTCCTGAGACTCCCTGATACAAGTGAACCCAGAAAGTGAACACACAGAGAGGCACAGGCAGCAGTGACAGAACATTACATTCAGATTACAATGATGAAAATGCAAAGAGCATCTGGAGACAGGTAACACAGCATCACGTAACCATGACAAATCTCTGGCAGGGCAGCAACAGCAAAAAATGAAAATGCTGCAGAAGGTGGACTTGGGATATCAAGATGGTATCAGGAAGCCTAATTTCAGTGCAAAAGGTGAAAGACTAAACCGAAGGCAAACTATCAAGACTCAAATGCAGGTTTTTTTTTATGTATGGATGAAATATTACTTGTTTTTGTTTTGTGTAGTAAATGAACCCCAAATAAAAAGGGAAAACAAGGAGATAAGAGGGTAGGCAGATGGGAAAGATGACTTTTGTTTTTCATGGAGGAAAAACATTTGAGTATTTTCATATAGAAGAAACAAAGGTGCCCTCGAAATGACTTCTCAGATACAAGTGTAAAAATGGAATTTGATAATTTATAATCTTCACACATGTAATCTCAACACTGAAAGCTAAGGGTTAGCTAAGGGACTTCTCCAACTCCACACAGTACAATAATTTCTAAGAGCAAAGACTAATGTCTGGTTACTTCTGGCACAAATATTTTTTAAAAACTCCAGAACCCCTGCTGCTCCTTACCCTTCTAAATCCTAGTTTTCTCTCATCTTTCTAACTGGAGCAGTAATCCTCACAAGTACCAAGCAAGATAATGGACACACAGGTCAGGGTAAAAGGCAGTCATGACTGCACATCACAGCAGGGGTTCAAACGCTGCTGTCTCCTATTCTATGACAGGCAAAGTCGAAAACATAAGATAAAAGGAGAAAGGAACCAATGCTTCTCCAGGGAACAGGAGGAGCCTCTGAAAAAGGCAGGGCAGAACTTTTTGCTGCAGAAGAAAGAACACATATGGATGGAGACAAAAATGAAGAGAAAAAGAAACTTAAGGAATATAAAGGAACAAAGTGAAAGTAACAGTGTTCAAAGAGTCTTGATTCAACAGAAAGTGACAGCAAGTCAACAACAGATTAAATGTCACTGTGCAGCAGCACACGTCTCACCAAAGGAGGACAGCATACCCATAGCGAAGCAGTCACACAGTTGGGAACAAATGTTGTCTAAAAAGCTCAGTGACAAGAGAAATGCATTACCTCTAGATTGCTTCTCAGTGCCTTCTCTTCTTCCAAATCTTTCTTCAGCTTTTCTAGTTCTTTCCTAAAAATAAAGTATGGATTATTGTTAAGGTCTTCAATTAGATATATACACACAAGGGAGTATTATCTAGCCATAAAGAATAAAAGTGTGCCATTTGCAGAAAAACAGAACTGGAGATCGTGACACTAAGGAAAATAAACCAAATGCAGAAAGACTATTTTGCATGTTTTCTCATGATGTACAACTTAGACTGTTATTCAATAAGAGGAAGGGAATGCAGGAAGCTAATAGGAGCATGTATATGATCAAAATGTTATATGCATATATGAAAATACCACAATAAAACCCTTTATTCTGCATAGTTAACAGGCACTAATAAAAACATTTTTAAGACACCACACTGGTATCACAAGTATAAAACAACAAAATTGTCAAATCAAATGGTACAGGAGTGGTGCTCCATATTTAATGATGAACAAGATTATTCTAACATGTATACTGCAAAATCTCTGAAAAAATTCAAAACAATACACTGAAGTACTCAAGAAAGACATATATCAAATGACATCTGTAACTGTGACACACATATTATATATATAATATATATAAAACATATAATATACACTGTGGGTAGTTATTCAAGACACATTCATTTCCATCTAAGAAACATTTGTACAAGTATTCTAAAAACTATCTCATATGGACAATCTCACTATTTCTTTCCCATAAAGAATCCTAGGCCAATGAAAAATTAAGAAAGAAATGATTAAAATTAGGCTGTTAGGTGTCGTAGCCTTTGGCTGTAGATTTTATATCCCATTTTAAGAAATCCTTTCATGTGCACTTCAGCAGCACACATACCAAGAAATCCTTTCAGAAGGGAAGGTCCCATTAAAGGGGAACACTTTCACCCAAAGTTCAGGGACAGGAGCTGCTCTCTGATCTGTATTCCTATGGGGTTCCTACAAAATTATGCTAAAAATGTCAAGTATTACAATTCAAATACTATTAATTATAGGAAATAACTCCAGATCTGGGAGTGGTAGTATTCACTGGTAATCACAGAATTTAGAAGGCTGAGGCAGAAGGATCATCCCAAATTCAACCCCAGTTTGGGGTACATCAACCTGAACTACATAGTAAGACCCTTTCTCAAGGAAGAAAAAAAAAGAGCTCTGAAAGAACAAAAGAGGCTGAGGTTTAGCTGTGTCATCGAAGAGTATATAATAATAGCTTTAATTCTCCTAATCTATATTGCTTCATGTAAAAAAGGGGTGCAACATTAGGGGATCTTTTAAATGTATTTTACCTCTAAGAAGTCCCTAACTCTCAATTAGGTATGCCCCACTGTATCCCATACCAAAACATGTTCAGAATTAGGGGCTTTAGAGAGAATCTCCTTCAATCCATTTATTTTACAAACATTTAACTTAACCCTAGCAGAGACAGTGATCAAATTCACCTAGGTAGTTACGTTTGACTATGTGTATAGATATACACCAGATAATACAACATAGTTTTCTTAGTATTTTCAAAACTAGCTAATGCCTTTATCAGACCAAAACACTTCTAACCTAAACATACAGGCATATATGTACCTTTTCTACAATTAAGCTACTGGACCAAGTGTTTTGTCAAATTCAATGATAAAGAAAATTTTGTTAAAAACAGACTTGCTCATACCACACATCAGCAAATTAGACTGTTATGGCATAGTGTTAAAGAATTATTTACATGTGTGTAAATAGTGCTCACTGGAGAGAACAGGGCTACCTACCCATGATCCTTTTTCAGTGCTTCAACAATACACACCAACTCAGTAATCTGAGCTTGAAGTTCATCCACAGAAAATTTTTTTCCATCATCCATTTCCACTTTAGTTTTAATTTCTAATGAAGTGAAAGAAGCAGCTGCACTGGTTTTAGAAGCACTTGAAAGTGTGGAAAGGTTCACAGAGGACTGAAAAAGTAATAAAGTTTTTTTCTGATCAATTTCTATTTATTGTATTTAAATCCAAAAGATTTTATAACAACATGAACAATATTAAGTACTCTAATTTGAAAATTAGGAATCAAAAATGCTCAAATATCTCCAACTTTTTGAGCAGCAACAAGAAGCCATAATTACATAATTCCATGCCTGACCACATGGAATGGTTCACAGTCCAAATGCAGGCAAACTAAAAACACTGTATACCATTACCTTCAAGCTATTTAGAGAAGGACCATACAAAAAAATGCATTTTGTAGTTATTCTTAGGTCCTACCCCCAAGATAACCTTAGTGTATACATGCAAATATATTAAAGCCCAACAAAACCTAAAATTTGAAACACTTCTGATCACAAGTATTTTAGATAAGGGTTATTCAGCCAGTACATCAAGAATGCAGAATTTAAAAATTCAGAGTAGTCTGATGTTCATATTGGGAAAAACCACCAGACAAAAACTAATCTGCAATCATTAGTGTGGCACATGTCAACGGCTTTCAACAAAGTTCATCAGATTTATCTTACATATGGTTTGCCTAGAGGAGCATTTATTATGAAGAAATGCAAAAAAGAGGCATTAAAATGAATCCATAGCCCGCAACCTTTTCAATTTCACTATAATAACAGTAACATTTCAGTAAAACTTTAATAGTATGTTAACAGCTAAGGGAATCAAATTGAGTACATTTGATAAACTGAAAAAGTAGCCAAATGTCCTGTAATGAAACTGAAGAACAATTTAGGAGAAAACATGATCTTCCTGAATAAAAGGAATGATCTACTCATCTTCTTTAAAAGTTTTCGCACATCAAAACAAATCACCAACACATTGAAAAGATAATCCAAAGACAGGGAAAAAATTTTAGCCAACTGTCCCTCAAACAAAGGACTTCTACACAGAACATTTAAAGAACTGAAAAAAATCAAAATCCCCAAATTCAAAAACACAGTTTAAAAATTGGCATCTGAGGTGAATACACACTTCTCAAATGAAGGAATACAAACAGAAATAAACACATGAAAAACTGTCCAACATAATTAGTCATCTAAGAAATGCAAATTAAAACAACACAGATTGCATTTCACCTCAGAAAGAATGACTATCATCAAAATAATTCAACCAACAATGAATGCTGGAGGGGCTGGGGGAAAAAGGAACCCCTCCTCCACTATTGGTGGGAGTGCAGACTGATATTATCACTGTGGAATCAGTGTGAAGATTCTTCAAATCACTAGGACTAGAGGTCCCATTCAATCCAGCTAATTTCCCTTCTGAGTATTTTCCCCAAAGAATTAAAAACATCAGATCATAACAATGTATGTGTACCCATACATAGCAGCACAATCTGTAATAGCTAAATTTTGGTAACAACCCAAATATCCATCAATCAAGGACTGAAAAAAAAAAGGATGTGGTATTTTTATATAATGTAGTACTGCTAAGCTATAAAGAGTCACATTCTTGAGACTTTTAGAGTTAAATGGATGCATCAAGAGACTATACTCATAAGTGAAACTCGCATGTGTAAGCATTGTCTCATTTTCGTAGTGTAATAAACTAAGAGTAAGACACAAAATCTGCAATAGACATTGAGAAAAGGAAAGAAACTGCTCACAAGAACAAACAACTGGGATGAGAGAAATGGAAGAAAAAAGAAAAAAAATATATATATATACACATATATACAAAATAGCTAACATAACTATACTTCTAACTTCTTTTAGTTCACTGAAGGGATCAGCTGGTATTGATTCATTCTGCATGCCTGTATCTTGTAATCTGAGTTTGAAGACAACAGGCAATATATTAACTATTGTTAATTTCTTATTATCCTGTTTTGAAACTCTGTATTACTGTTTTTATTTTTGTCTCCTTAAAATTTAAAGGCCCGCTCAAAACACACAGTGAATGTATAAATTATAAACGATTTCTTATAGTAAGACACACTGCCAATAACCCCATTCAGAAAGCTTGCCCTGGCTTTAAACACAGACATCCCATTATTTGTACCATTCTGAAGTAGGTATGGGGCTCCTCTTTGGGAGGGGCGTAGTTAAAAACATCAAGTGGACTAATTAACTGCAGAGAAACAGATATAGAGACCCATGTCTTCAAACCTATGACACATGTTATATATTACTCATATAAAATAATGGAAGTGTAGGTTGTGGCTGAAGCTGGAGACAACACACATGTGGGGCCCAGAGGAAAACAATGAACGTCCCTGGCAAACAAGCTGCCCAGAAAACCCCAATCCCCAAGGCAATCCAAGCAATGAGTTACAAGGAAAAGGGCTGTTAAATACCCTACAGTGGTCAGTTCTTTTCCTCCTATCAGGAAACAGAGCTCCACCTGACCCCAGCTTTCTTCTATTTTCCCGTCCTCTTACTGTCCTTCCTCCCAGGAACACCTAGAGTTGCAGCAGAACACAACGTATAAGCTCCTCTAAGATAGATCTCCAGTGTGACTTAAGTTTAAGAGCTCAAGTTTTGCAACAGGAATGATCTTATTCCCTGATTTCCAAATAGGATATTTCCAGTTATTTTATTTCTTTGCTAAGTTCACAAAGAATTCTAGAAACTACAGAAATCTTAGTGTGCAATTCATCTTACCTTTAGAGAGTAGGACGTATCCTTTCTGAATTCAGATGGCTTTAGATTGGCACTATCATCTTCTTTAGGTACCTTCAAGGTTTTTTCTGGGCTGTGAGTTGGCTAAATGATTTTTTAGAAATCAAGAGACAGAAGAGACCAAAGAAGAAAACTGTAGTAAGGATTTGGATGATACAGCAAAATAAGTTTTACCACTTTGTTTTCGACTACCACTATTCCTGATATTCCATTACTACTAATAGGATATCATTATTTCAAGCTGAATAATATATTTGTCTATCTTGAAGGCAAACACAGCCTGCCTAACAGCAACAAAATGTTCACCACTTAGGTCACTTAAAAGTACCAGAAGGCATTAAGAGGTAATGTAACATTAAAGCATGATTCATATTTCAGGCAATGAACAGAAATCAAGAAAAGCCATTGACTTAGATACCAGAACAAGTACTATGAAAAAACTGACACTTTCAGTAGGGACAAAATGTTCTCATTTTCCCCTAAAGTGAGTGTGTATTCCTCAGATGCAATCCTCACTGCTGAACAGGCAGATTACACAGGCTTCCCAGGACAATTCCTTACTTCTGCTTCTGTGAGCTTCAACCTCAGGTCTCATATTGAAATAAGTATCTCTTTCCCTGCATCTCCTTAAATGCCAGAGGTTGCCTTGTGAGTGTAAGAGCTGTCTTCATGATTTTTAACTCCAACACAGCTCTGAGCCCTCTCTCCCTGTATCAGTCAGGGTTTTACTAGAGAAAACATATGTAACATGAGATAGATAGATGTATAAGAAACAACAAAATTGGCTTATGATGGTAAGCCACAGAGTTGGATGAGGAAGCTTGTAGAGGGTGTCTATACACTGGAGGCTGAAGGATTTAATCTAAGGTCTGGAGTTTACTCTAGTGTCTTGTGTAAGTCTACACTAGCAGGCTAATGGATCTGCAACAGAAGGCCAAAGGCTCTATAATGAAAGGCTGAAGAGTCTGTCGGAAAGCTGAAGAGTCTACACTGCAAGCCAGGAGACGAGGTCCAAACCAAAGGCGAAGACTGGAGCTTTTCTAAAGAATGGAATGCATTTGTCCTTTTTTTTTTTTTTCTTTATACCTCTAGGTGATGAGCCACCCTATGGTGGGTGGTCTTCTACACTGTTGGGTGTAGAGTTGCTATACCCATTTAGTTAAGCTGTTAAATGTCTCAAGCTGATACAATCAATCAACCACTATACTCCCTTCTTCTTTTTCTTGGTCTTCTTTGCTCTCTCACAATAACTCACAGAATGTCCACCATTGAAGCGGCCAGGTAGCCTTCGTCCAGGCATCTTTGGTCTATTTGCAGTGAGATGCAGCAAGTTCTCTGAGGAGGCTATGTCATCAAAATTTACAACATCTAGAGAACAGAAATACATATTATGTACTAAGAGATAACACCTTAAAAAGGTTTTAAAAAAAAGTATTTCTGGCTTTTGAACGAATTATAAATTAAAAGAGCATCACTACTGTGAAGGGCACACAAGCTGACCTGTGCTTTTCATATGCATTTGGAAAACAATATCCTTTTTAAAAGTACTATTCACTGAAACATTTTATAGTACAAGATTTTTATGGAAGAGTTGTAATTCCAACAGTGTCCTACACCTCAACAAAAATTTACTGAACTATGAATCTGTACTATTTACTGTAGCAGCATTTTAAAAAAAAGTTATACTTGGTTCTTGTTTATTTAAAAAGGAAAAAAATCCATCTACTTAAACTACTAAATAATTACAACATACCTAAGATTTCGAGGTGAAATGTGGTTTAAACTTCAACGGTGGACTACTTGTCTCATTTGAAGAACTCAACTATAGCTGGCATGTTGCTGCTATTCTCAAGGTAAAGTGAAAGTACAATTTCATGTGTCTTGTGTGTGTAAGACAAGCTACAGTAGGACACAAACTCTTCAGATTTCCCTGCATCTCTGCTTAGACATTACCATGTCAGGAAATAAGAGTTACTAATTAAAGCGAATCAGATACTAGAGAGAATGCTACACAAGTCACTAATTTGCTTCTCTCCCATCAAAGGCTAGTTTACCCTAGACCTAGTAATTTGGGTTGAAGGACAAACCTAGTGAACTCACACCTTTTACCAAGGAGGTTATATATGAGCTAATATACATTAGCCTTGCCTTTTGCTAGATGATCCAGAAGCATTTGCTACAGGGGTTTCTCGAACTCTAAGCTCAGATATTTACAAATGACACAGGAACCCTGCCAGTAAATTCTCTTCCAGATAACCTTCTAACAGCCCTCCCTTTGAAGTAGGACTATTAATGACAGCTAAAACAACCCACAGGGTAACAAGTATCTTTTTTCTAATCTTCTAGAACAAGATTTACCCTTCACATCAGCATTTGCCCAGATATGGCTATAACATTTAGGTATTCAGATGTCTCAGCTTCGGTGCTATTGTTCCTTAGAAGAGAACTAAAGTAACTGGGCAGGGCAATGTACACCTGTAGTCCCAGCATTTTGAGAGACACAGGCAGGAAGGTCACAAGTTTAAACCCAGCCTAGGTAACTTAGCAAAATCTCATCTTAACACCGAAAAGGAGCTGGGGAAGTAGCTTTGGGCAAAAGGCACGTGGATCACTCCCAGAACCCAAAGATAATTTCTTATTATATTCTCAAAGCCTAGTCAGCAAATTTTATTTTCAGGGGCTGGGGATTTAGCTCAGCGGCATAAGCGCCTGCCTTGCAAGCAGCCAGTCGTGAGTTCGATCCCTGGTACCGATAAAAAACGAAAAAGACCAAAAAAAAAAAAAAAAAAAAATTTTATTTTCAAAGTAACTTAGAGAATTTTGTTTAAGGCATGGAGGACATAAAACTAAGGCAGAAAAAGAGATATCACTTGGTAATATGTATTCTGTAACACACTGATTGTCTATTAATTCAAAGTCTAGTCAGCAAATTTTCAAAGTAACTTAGAGAATTTTGTCTAAGGCATGGAGGACACAAAACTAAGGCAGAAAAAGAAATATTATTTGGTAATATGTATTTTATAACACTGATCGCCTATTAATTTTTTTCTCACCGATTACTTTGTGTCTTCTCTCTTGGATCAAATCACTAAGCTCCTACATCATAATGTTCTGATATGTTTATTTTTTAAGTGTTTTCATAATTGTCTATAACAAACAATGATAAGAAATAAATTATTTATTGCCTTTATTGGAAAAGGTATTGTATAATCTAAAGCATGCTGATTTGGGGTGGGGAATTTTTTTGAGACAAGGACTCACTGGGTAGCTCAGGTTAGTACTAAGCTCCTTATCAAGCTCTCAGTGATCTTCCAGCCTCAGCTTCACAAGTGCTGGATTACAGGCATGTGCCATCATGCCTGGCTAAGAGACTGAATTATAGATTAAATATATATTAAGAACTTATCATTCTATCTGTCAACACCTTAAAGAAAACAATCAGTATTTAAAATCCATTAAAAATATCTCCTAGTGAGCCAGGGATTTAGCTCAGCGACGTAAGCGCCTGCCTAGCAAGCACAAGGTCATGAGTTCAATCCCTGGTACCACAAAAAAAGAAAAAAAAACTTCTAGTTCCAAGGGTTAAAAATTGCTTTTTACACCTGTAATTGTGGATTGATAACCTACAAAATATTTTGAAAAGTAAAAACCAATCGTTTTGACTACAGAGATTATTTTCAAATGCATATCAAAGCAACTTTCAGGAAGAAAAGGAAACAAAAACATGGAAGTAAGAGAAATGAAATTCAAAGAGTAAAATGTAAAGTTACAAAATACATCATGTTCATGTAAATGCCTTCCGTATGTCCAGTTCAGAACTACAACACCATGACAAAATTTTACCATTCTAAAACTCTCTCAGGTTCTCCATTTAAACCATGAGGTTACTAAAATGACCAGTGCACATTTTGAACTCAGGACAGCTTTAAATGCTTCTCAATGTACCTGAGCATGATAGCAATAGGTTCACATAATACATGCGGCCCAGAGGTATAACTATCACTTAAATCTTGCAATGACATCTGTCATATTGCCAGGCACTTATACTTCTGTGTACTGCTAGGAAGATATGAAGTTTTTTTAACTCAAGTGAAGTATCCAATTTTGGGAGAAAAGAATCTCATTTATAAATTGCCAATTTAAAAAACAAAAATCTTTTATCAAAAGTATATTTTAAAATATCATTAATAAAATTTTCCAAAATAAACTTCATTTTCTTTTGAAATGGAAAACCAAAAGGGTTAGAACAAATAGACAGACAAACATGTACATTTTCCATAAAATTAGAAAGAAAAAAATTAGTGTGCACCACCTATTATACTGAATACACTATTTTGACTTCTTTTATAAATTGTCTTACCAAAATGGAGAAGGGTAGGATAATTTCCTGACACGTAAGAAGGAAAACATGGAAACAGGCTAGGAAACAAAATCTGGAAAGAAAAGTCAAGGATAGGAATGTCTAGAAAAAAAAGACTAAACCAAAAAAAAAAAAAAGTTATTTTACAAAGCAGGAAAAAGGAACAGTTCTAGAAAATACAGAAGCATTTCAATGTTTAGCATGGCTATTGCAGGTTATCTAAATATACATTTGTGTTAGACATTAGATTTACCTTCTGTCTTTCAGAAGGAAAAATCAATACTAGTATTATGTATATATTAAGCTTAAAGAAGCCTTGTTTCATTCTTACTGAACAATACCAAGACACGTCTCAAAACACAGCTTAGCACTTTAAAAGGCTACGATTATAATCCATAGAGTAAGATCTCATATATGTAACTAAAATTAACTTGTAATCAAAAGCTAGTCTTCAGTGTATAACAGTAATTACAACAAAGGAACAATCTTTAATTCTAATAATCATGAAATTAAAATATTCCAAAAATCTTAAATGTCTTACAATGAAAATCTGATTCAATATAACCTTTAAAAATCTCATACATATATACTATACATAAAAATCAAATGTCTTAAGTGATATAAGAAAACATATTAGAAACTCTTTTTCACTACTAGTTTATACCCAAGATCACTTTTACAGTGATCTTTTATTATAAAAATCCCACTACAAATTCTTTCCAGAAGAGCTGCAACAGTCAAGAGATAAAATACTATAAAGTGACCACATCAGTTGAGTTTTTTCAATGTAATAGGTATCTTAATATTAAATTTTCTATCTAGTATTTCCAAACTAATGTAAAAATAGTTTTCCTTCTTAGGAAAATTACTATTTTAGGAATATCTGGATCATGCAAAGTTTATAATTAACCAGTATTAACAATGAGATTTTCTTTTCAATTTTGATGAAGTGTTTCCAAAAAAAAGAGAAAAGAATTAAAACATGATTCCTAGAAATTCTGAAATTTGTGCACTGTATCATATATAAGAATTTTATGCCATTAAAAAAAACTTAACTGAGGATATTCAGTGACTTTCTTATATGTACAAAAGCCAGAAATTATATCATATACATATACATATATATGCATAAATGTAGCTTTCCAAATAGGAAAATTTTACATGAGAATAAAAAGGAAGTTATAACCCTTTATATAAAGGAGAAACAGAATGAAATGGACTTAACAATATAGAGGGGCAAAGAGAAAGGACAGAAGATTAACTACCATTTATTCTACTATTCTACTAAGTACAGTAACTACAATAAATAATTCAACTGTTAGGTAAGCAAGAGACAATAAATTTAGACAAACAACTCACCTATGACTAGTCAGCAATAAATAAAACCCGGATTTTTTAACAGCAGATCCAGTGTACTTTCCACTGTATCATTTCACATCAAATTATAATGACACCTAATAATGGAACTCTTAATAAGAAGTTTTTAATGTGTGTTAAACTTTCTAAAACTTGTTGACTCATTTTATATATTATTTTAAATATATGTAACTTTAAGCCAAAAACTATACACTATACATTAATCTAATGCCAAATTTGAGGTTTTCGTCAAATATTAATTTGTTTACTCTTGGGTCCCATGTCCCAGATATCTCACATGTACTCAAAACTCCAAAAGCATCTCAAAGTCAAAATACTACTTTTCCCAAGCATTTGAGATAAGGGAAATTCATCCTGTGCTTGGAACACAGGATATTCTAATGAAACAAAGATGACAGAAAATATTTGCTACCAGCAACTATGCCTTTTATCTTAGTATATAACGTATGTCTAAAACACTACTAAGAATGTAAAAGGAGCTCAGTAAATACTTGCTTCTCAACATGAACTCAATTCCCATTTTCTCTTTTCTGAACCTGACAGAGTATATATTTGATAAACCAAAGTCAGCCTTGGGAAGCAGAAAAAATGACAGCAGCTTGGAACTTGGCTGTTCCTGTTGTGACTTGTTAAGTGTTGGCACCTCTAAATTATTTCCTTACTTATTAAAGAAAAATAATTAAACCCAAAAGTTAGAACTTTTTAAATGCTATTCTACAAAGTTTCTTTATTTGCATCAGTAGCAAACACCACTATGGGTATAAGAAAAAAAGGGGGCTCTAAAGTAAAGTTAAACAACAGGACTTGCTTACCAGCAACATTTAGAAATCAATGTGTATATTATTTCTACAAGAAACATAGCAAGGCAAACTAAGCCTGTTGATGAATGTATACAGAACAAGTTTTGAAACAGAAAAAAACTGTTTTCCCAATTTTTTAAAAAATAGTTCCACCACCTTGAACCTTGGCAAATGTACAAAGTAACAGAAAAATACAGGTTCTGTTTCCTTCAGTTCCAAAAGTGACTCTATCAAGATTTAAAGTTTTGCCAGGGATGTAACTCAGTGGCACAAATGCCTGCCTAGTAAGTGCAAGGTCCTAACTTCAGTTCCCAATAAGAAAGGAAAGAAAGGAAAGAAAGGAAAGGAAAAGGAAAAGGAAAAGGAAAAGGAAAAGGAAAAGGAAAAGGAAAAGGAAAAGGAAGATAGATAGATAGATAAAAGGTTTTTGTGACCAAGATTACAGAAAACTGTGGAAACGCAAAAGGTATTATAATACTCACAGATTGTTTTTGTTTCCTGAGCTAAAATTAGGCACATAATCTGTTTTTCTACAACTATGAATTTTGAAAACATATTTCTGACCACATTTTAATTAAAAAAAAAAAAAACTGGTGGGGCTGGGGATTTAGCTCAGTGGCATAAGCACCTGCCTTGCAAGCAGGCAGTCGTGAGTTCGATCCCCATTACCAATTAAAAAAAAAACAACTGGTAACATTCTGTTTTTTAAATGTGAGCTCTACAGGAAGAGTAATAAAGGCTTTTTAAAGGGCATTTTTTTCATTTTTGTATAACAGGTGAATTTTAAACAGATTTTAAAATACTATGAATTTTTCAACAACTTTGTCTAAAGTATAATCAACATCTCTACTCCCAAAAACTAATGAGTATGGTATCATCCATAGCAGTAATGATCCAAATATATGAGAAATAGATCGAGGAAATATCCAATCAAAAGACTGAAAGGAGGCCACACTTAACATGTTTCTGCTGGCTTGAACTATGGTAGTATATGCATAACTGTCCCATCAGGCAGCCTGTAACAACTGATGGTGCAGGACTGGTGGTTCAGAGCTGCCCAGCAGCACAACATATGAACTATGGCCCTGTTATGAACAAATTAAAACAAGAGCCTTTGCACGGCAAACGAAAAAGAAAAATAAGATCACCTGAAAAAAATGAAATAATATATTTTACTGTACAGTGATATCCCCCAAAGAAGCTATAACTAGTCATAAAGTTTAGATACAAATATGAAATGTTAACAGTGAAGCAGATACACACACACACACACTCACACACATTTTTTATACATGGTACTTAGGATTTATAAAGACTCTTTGATGTTTTTTGCTTTCTTGAGACAGTCTTGCTATGTAGTTCATGTTGGCCTTGAACTCGTTGAGATCCTCCTGCCTCAGCCTCTCAAATACTGGAATTATAAGGTATGTGCCCCCACACCTGGCTAAGACTTCTCTTTTGACTTATGTGATTATGCACATTTGATGTGTCTCTACAGTTTATGTAACCTGGGGGAAAATAAACATCTATTCCCTAGATTACTACAAAGAGAACATATATTTAAAAAGTGCTTTGAAAAATGTAAAAAGTGTTGGGCGTGGTGGCACATGCCTATAATCCCAGCTCTCCGGAGACTGAGGCAAGAGGACTGCTGCAAGTTCGAGACCAGCCTGGGCTACAAAGTGAGCTCAAGGCCAGCCTGAACTGCATAACAAGACTCTGTCTCAAAAAGACAAAAATAAACAAACAGCCACAAACAAATGGGAAGCACAATAAAAATAACCATTACTACAAAGTAATGTCTGTGTAATATTTTAAATGGGAAGAACTTTAAGGTAACTCTGTGTCAAGTTTTCTACTTTACAACTAACAGGGCATAAAAATCAAAAGAGGGGTAGACTACACAAAGGTGATTAATGTGCAGAAAAATCAATCACAATGTGAAGAAACAACACTTAGCAAAAGTAAAGCCTGTTGATACATAGTCATAAAAAGTATATCCTCTAATGGGAACACAAGTATTTAAAAAAAACTTTTTAAGTTATCAAATATAAACTAATGTTGGCACTGAAAGTCTACATCATTTTCTCTTTAAACGTTTAAAAGTAAACTGTACTCATATCTCACAAGATACTGTATATCTACCATTTTGCTATGAACCGATGGAATAACCGATGGATGATTTCCTCCATATCCATTTCAGTCTTCTGACCACTATGAAAACTTGAATCTATCCACTTCTGTTATCTGATCAGTAATAATCTTCTGACCACTAAGAACCTTAAATATTTTCCCAAGTTACCTTCACTTACTCTTCTACATTGGCTACTAGGTTTTAAACAAACTTCCTCCCTACCTACCCATACACAAATCTCTTAGTTTCTAAAACTGTACTGACCACTTTTTTTTAGTGCACTACCTTTGTCCATGATAACTTACCTGTGTCTTTAGGGCTTCTTGCTATTAATGAATCAAGGTCTACTGATTTTGGTCTCAGTGGCAACTGTTCAGAATCTAGCTTTGGTTTTGATACTGGCTCAGTTTCAAACTTTGATGAGATGGTAGAAATTTCTCCATTAATCCTGAAATGAGAAAAACATATGGAAAAATCACTTGAATATCAACATTTTACACTGCAGGGATGTTTAATATTATATTGTTATAAACACTGAAGATTTTATAACAAAAAATTTATTACTTTCTGTTCTGTAAAAATAATTTTCGTAAGTGTAAGCCCCTATCTTACAACTGATCACATTAAATTGAAAGTGCAAAAACAGTATTTGTGCATCCACATATTATCAATATAAGATTACATTTAACAGTTACTGCAATCTATAGAGGAAGTATAAAGAATAAATACTCAGAATTAATTTGAGATTTAGAAAGGACATAGAGCCATCTGGACTAAAGGTAGGTAAATCTATGAGCTAAATTTAAAACACAGGTAGACTTACTTGGTAACAGGTGGTGGAGGAACTGGTTTTTCAGGTCGCTTTGGGAAAACTGTTCCAGGAGATCTCAACAAACTGTTGGTTTTGGTGGGTGGAGTAGGCTTCTTGGGTGGGACTTGTGGGGCAGCTGGTTTAGAAGATTTCTGTTCCAGCAGTGATTTTTCATCTAGTGATCAAACAATATTAAATAAGTTAATAATCAAAACAATTTAGGTTTTCTATTTCTTAAAGTTCTATCAGGCTGAAAAACTTTCACTTTCTACATCTGCATTTATAAGCATTGCTTTAAAGTTACATCTTATGGGGGAGGGGTTAAAAGTTACAATTTAATAGGTACAAATAGCTTTACAAATTCTCTTTGCTAGGAATGGTAGCACATCCCTGTAATCCCAGCACTCAGGAGACTGAGATAGGAGAATTGCTATGAGTTCTAGATCAAACTGGGCTACACAGTGAGTTCAAGAACAGCATGAACTATATAGTGAGATCTTGTCTCAAAAAGAAAAAAGTTTACTTTGGTTAGGGCAGAAACCACAAATAATGTTGTGATTAACCATGCCTGTTTCTTAGTAGATTCTCAGCATTCTTTATTTTCAGTGGCAGTATTCTATCTCAAAAACTAAGCACATGTAACAGAAAATTATGATTTAAATCTAAATCACATTCCAAAACTGAAATGCAGCAGGAACTCTACTGTCACATAAAATCTGAACTTAAAATCTGCCATAATCACAAAAAATAAACAAATAAATAAATAATCAAATGTTAAGAAAAACTGAGGCTACTGGGTAAGTAGCTCAGTGGTACAGGCTTTACCTAGACAGGCCTTACTTGGCATCCCTACTAGAGAGGATACAGGAGAGGGGTAAGGCAGGCTTGACTGCTTTTAATAAGCCACAGTAACAACTGGGCTCTCATTATTTTCTTTTTCCTCAATGATCACCATCCTACATTGCCCTGACATCCAACATCTGAAAACCATGATTTCATCTATTTGTCCAGTTTTCTAGCTGTTTAACTCAGAAGGGTAAATTCATACTCTGTGACTTCATCATGCCTAAGATTTTGAACAGATATACATAATAAAAAGTATCACATCCCATTTTGTTTTATAAGATGAACTAATTTCAAGAACTATGGGAAATCACTATATAAATTTTAACAAAATTGCTGAATAGGCAATGTGGCCAAATAAGGCCTCACAAAAATTCCTAATGTAGATAAGGAAGACAGCAATACACTTCTTATATTCACTGCTACATTTTGATTTTTCAATTAGGATACATAGTAAAACCAAGTACAGAAACAAACTGACCCAAATTCACACCTAATATCTGTACCACTAACGACTAACCTGAGACTAAGAAATATTTTTAAGTATAAATTGTTTAGGATCACGTTTTACAATTCTTAAATTAAAAAAATAAAAATAAAAAATTTCCCCTGAAAGTCTACAAGAAAGACATGAAACAATAAAGGTTGTATGACATGTTTAGGAAATTGAAAGTGGTTATGTTTAGTGAATGAACACTGAAAAATGATACCAACAATGTAATCTGGGGATCAATTATTGGAGGCTTTCTAATTTGGACATTAGTTTTAATCTGAAAAATGAAAACTTCCCAGTAACTTAGTGTGGATTCACCTAGACAAAAATGAATGCAGACCACTCTTAAAAAGATCACAGATCCAAATGTAAAAAATATAAATTCCCAGAAGATAACACAGGAGAAAATCTAGAAGGCCTTGGATATGGTAATGACTTTTTTGATAAAACACCAAAGGCATGCTCAACAAAACAATTACTGCTAAGCTGAACTTTATTTTTTGAGTTTTTGAGACAGGGTCTCACTATATAGTTTAGGCTGGCCCTGACTTGGCTTAGCTTCTTACATCATAGGTGTGAACCACCACACCTGGCAGTTCTACTTTTATGAAATTTAAAACTTTTCTGAGAAGAAAACAAGCCACAGAGTAGGAGAAAATATTTGCAAAAGATTTGTGATAAAGGACTACTGACACACTCAAAATATATAAAGAGCTTTTAAAACTTGAGAAGAAAATGAACCACATACTTAAAAAACCTGGTAAAAATACCCGAAGTTCACCCAAGAAGATATGCAATGACAAGTAAACATATAAAAAGATGGTCAACACTGTATGTCATTAAGACAATGCAAACTAAAGCAGTTAGATATCCACTATGTACCTATCAGAATGGCTAAAACCCAAAACATAGATAACATCAAATAATGGCAAGGAGGTAGAACAGAAACTCTCACTGCTAATGGGAACAGAAACTCTCACTGCAAAATGGTGCAGCCATCTGGGAAGACAGTTTGGCAACTGTCTACAAAAAAGTATATACTGTGATCCAGAAATCTCACTCCTTGGGGTTTACCCAAATAAACTGAAAACACACACACACACACACACACACAATTTGTAGCAGCTTGGTCCATAATTGTCAAGACTTGAGAGTAATCAAGATAGTCTTCAGTAAGTGAATAGATAAATTATGGTACATACAGACAACGAAATACTATTCAATATGACTATTCCAAAAAAAAAAAAAAGACTGACCAAGCCCCAAAAAGACAAAGAAATTTTTGATGCATAAAAAGTGAACACAATCTGGAAAAGCTACATATTATTTGATTTCAACTATGCAACAGTCTGGAGAAGGCAAAACTATGGAGACAGAAAAAAAATAATCAGTAATTACCAAAGTTTAAAAAGGAATGATAGGTGACTAGGAAAACGTAGAGGACTTTTAGGACTGTGAAACTATTCTTTATGATGGGAGCTATGTAGCACTGTATATCTGTCCGATTAAATAGAATGTACAGCACCAAGAGTACATGATCCTGGAAACACACTTTCAGATGGGATGATGTCTATGGTGACTCACTACTTCTAACAAATATACCACTCTGGTGCAGGATATTGATCGTTGGAGAGATTTTAATATTGTGGAGACACAGAGTACGTGAGAACTCTCTAACTTTGGCTCAATTTTTCTGTGAACCTAAAACTCCTTTAAGAAGTCTCAAACAAAAAGAAATGAGGCTGGCAACATGAAGTACAATACAGACAAGTTAGAAAAATCAGTTAAGAAGACACAGTACTTTATAGGAGACAAGGTTAGGTTAAACTACAATACTGGCAATAGAAATGAAAGCATTTCAGAACAGTATTTATTAGAAACAAGCACTGAAAATCTATACAAAGAGAGGTATTTCTATTAACAAAATAATGCTTTTGACAAAATACATATAATATCTTGAAGTAACTAAACGTAACAAATATATGAATGAGTTTAAATAGCACATAATTATTTCCATGTTTAAATAGAAACTTACTTTTATACCTTTAAAAGAATTAAAATTTACTTTTAATTAGGCCAGGCATGGTGGTGCACACCTGTAATCACAACATTCGAGAGGTAGGAGGATCACTGAGAGTTTGAGGCCAGCCTGGGCTACCAAGAGAGTTGAAGGCCAACCTGAACTGTACAGCAAAACCCTGTCGCAAAAACACAAACAAAAGAAAAGAGAAGAAAGAGAAGAGAAGAGAAGAGAAGAGAAGAGAAGAGAAGAGAAGAGAAGAGGAGAAAAAAGAAAACAAAACAAAACAAAGGAAAATTTACTTTAGCCAGGCATGTTGGTATAATCTTAGCATTTGGGAGGTTGAGAAAGGAGGATCACCATGAGTTCAAAGTCAGCCTGGGCTATATAGTGAGTTCAAGACCAGCCTGTATTAGAGTAAGATCCTGTCTCAAAAAATTAAAAAATATTTTTTAAATTTTAAACAGAAAACAGTAAGAAATAGCAATAAAGCCAGGTGTGGTGGTTCATGCCTGTAATACCAGCACTCGGGAGGCTGAGGTGGGAGGATATCGTTGCAAGTTCGAGACCAGCCTAGGCTACAAAGTGAGCTCAAGGTCAGCCTGAACTGCATAGCGAGACCCCATCTCAAAAAAAAAAAAGACAGGGGCTGCGGATTTAGCTCAGCGGCATAAGCACCTGCCTTGCAAGCAGGCGGTTGTGAGTTCGATCCCCGGTACCAATTTAAAAAAAAAAAAAAAAAGAAATAGGAATAAAACAGTTTCAAAACAGGCTAGCAGGACAACACACTGGGTACTGATATATTCACAGTCATTGTTCAGAGAACAAGATATGAGCATGAAACACTGTCCAGAAAATTACTAGCACAAAACTTTCCTTTCAATGAAGAGAAACAAGCTGTATAATTACCTTAACTGTTTTGTATATAAATGTGTTTTTTTCATTTTCCCTTTTTTGTCTCCCTTTCTCCCATCACATTTTTTCTTTGCTTTTAAAGTTTCATCCCTATGCACAATACCTAGTGTACATTTTGGAACCTATTTATCCTTTCAGATTCTCATATTAGTGAGATAATACAATGTTTACACGTAGATCTATTTCATTTATAAGTATGGTCTTGGTCACATCCATTTACCTGTAAAAGTCTTGAGTTTATCTTTCTTTAGAGCTGAGGAGTATTGTTGTATATATTTTTTTAAAAACATACACATCTTTTTATTCATTCCTTGGTTGATGAGCAGTTGGGTTGTTTCTAAGACTTAGCTATTATGGGACTGGGGATTTAGCTCAGCGGCATAAGCACCTGCCTTGCAAGCAGGCGGTTGTGAGTTCGATCCCCGTTACCAGTAAAAAGGAAAACAAAGTGTTAAAAAAAAAAAAGACTTAGCTATTACAAACTGTGCCACTATAAACATGGGTGCACATACATCATTGTGTTATGATGCTTTTAATCCTCTGGGAAGATATCCAAAGAGGTAATAGGTGGATTAAATGGGACCTCCAATCCTAGTTTTTTGAGGGATCTCCACACTGATTTCCACAATAGCTGCACCAGTCTACATTCCTACAAGCAATGAAAAACAGTTCCTTTTTCCCCACAGCCCTCTAGCATTTATTATCAGTTGACTTTTTGATGATAGCCATTCTTTCTGGGGTAGATGGACTGTTGGTGTAGTTTTAATTTGCATCTCTCAAATGACCAGTGATGTTGAACATTTTTCATTTATTTACTTACCATTTATATTTCTTCTTCTGAGAAGTGCATATTCATCTTAGATGACCACTTTGGTTTGGGTCTTTGAGTTGGGGGATCTAATTTTTCTTAATTCTTTATGTCCTAGATATAAGTTCTCTGTCTGACATATGAGTGGCTATAATTTTTTCTCAATCTGTATGTCGTCTTTTCACTTTGTTGGTGATTTCTTTTGTTGTGCAAAATGTTAATAAGGTGAGATCCCATTTGTTGTATTTCCCATGCAGTCTGGGATTTCCACATGAAGTTTCTGCCTATATCTATGTCTTCAGGATTTCTACCTATTTTCTCTTCCAGTACACTAAGTGTTTCTGTTTTAATATTTAGATCTTTGACTTTATAATACTTAAATCTAGTATTCAGATCTTTAACTGAACCACAAAACAGTGAATCTGTTTTTAAAGTTGTTTTCTTATATATTATTTGAAATAACAAGTACAAGCTCTCCTAAAAAAATAATTTTTAAATAATGTAAATTGGAATTAGTCTGAGTGCAAATTTAATTTCCTATCAATCTAAATAAACTACTTCCTTCCAGAAAACTCTAAACACTGCAAAATAAGTGTAAAATTTGCCAAAAACCAGTACAAATGACCCATTACGAAAAGACACATTTCTCTAAAATAATGAAAGAGAAGACTGAGCACCTTTATCTTCAGGCTTTATAGGAAAAAACTTCTTCTCTGCAGCTATCAGGTCAGGCTTTGGAGCTGGAAGCATAAAACCACAAATCAAACACTTACTTCTGAAAATAATTTTAGAGCACAGAGACAATTATACTACTAAAAGATAAACAATAGTTCAAAACTAACACCAGAAGAGACCACTGTTTAACAGAAAAGATAATGTACCAGAATCACTGGGCTCAGTTTGTAATCCATGAATTGCTATCACCACTATTATCCTAACAATTCTGTGATTTTTTTTTAACAAATTCAAAACTCAAGAGTTCATAGTCTCTGTTATACCATAGCCTAGCAGAACTTTCTGTGGTGATGAAAATATTCTGTGTTGTCCAATATGATTAAGAAGCACATGAAATGTGGCTTTTGTGACTAAGAAACTGAGTTTTTGTATTATTGAATTTTAATTAATTTTAAAAGATCTATGTAGCTAGTAGCTACTATATTAAACAGTATAGCTTTATAGTAAGCCTACAATCCCAAATTCTACAAAAATTACTCTACTTTTAATTTATGCTTTCCTTGCCATGGAATTAGGTCAGCAAACATTAAGCTGAAAACAAGGGGGAATCTCAGGCTTTAGATTATTCTAGAAGATATTAAGCATATCAAGAAGCAAAAATTTTACATAAACATCAGTTATTTAGGGAGAGAACTTGTAAAAAATAGCTACATTCTAAAATTGAACCCTGAGTCAATGTGCCTGCTGTGTCCATAAAGAGAGATTGAGGTCTGAGGTCTGGCCCAAGGGAGCCAGGTGCCCAGAAAGCCAAGATGTGGTCTTTGGCTTCCTTCATCTGGGCCACTAACTGGGCTGTGAGCAAGAGGAAACTGCAGCTCACTGGCTGGCCTTACGCTGACATGATACCTTCTGCAGTAAACAAGATAAGGTGACTTTTTAAAGATAAGCCTGAGTGTGTACCTTTGAAAGTTGGTGTCTAAATCAGGCACTGTAATGGTTTTTCCTACACTCTAGAATATACAAAGACGAGATTCTGATTAAGAAGTTACTTAGGACAGAGTCAGAGTGTTAATCGAAAAGAAAGCATGGCTAACACTTTTAGAAACAGAAATGGAGTATGTTAAAGACAAATTATCCAGTGAGTCTGTCTTCAACAACCCAAACACCAAAGGAATTTCTGGCTGTGGACAATGCTTTAGTATTTGAAACCTCAGAACTCTCCTGGCTGCAAAGTCCAGGTAAGCTTCCTCAAGCCTTAGAGTATACTGAAGAAATTGTATAACTGTCAGTGCTTAAGGCTTATATGTGGCCACCAAATGGGTAAAGTCATGCATTTTGAAAATAGAGTCAGTGTATTAGATTCCAGAAGAAATGCTGCTTGTGTTTTCCACGGGGGGGCAGGAGAAGCTACTGTTCTCTTTGAGTCACTCATTAGTCTGTAAAGAAGACAAATTCTACCCTACACTTAATTCTTAGATACTTGGTTAGAACTAGTTTCATGAATATTAGCTTCCTGGAAGGATTCAAGGAAGTGGGTAAATTAATATCCACCCATTAGATTGCTGTTGGATCAATCTCCCTCACCAGTTTCCCAACCAGAATAATGGCTTCCAAAAGTCAGAGGCTATAAATTCTGTCTGCTGATAATAATTTGGTGATATATAGTTTTTTCCACCCAAATTTGACATAATCTCTTCTTTTTTTGTGACAGGTGCTTGCTAAATTGCCCAGGCTGGCCTTATATTCCTGCCTCAGCCTCCAGAGTCATTGAATTACAAGTATGCACTACCACATCTGATTTAGCATGGTCTTTTTACATGTTTTTCAAAATGCCATTATCAAGTGCCTCATCTGCATGCCCTTAGCAGTAGCAGGCAAGGATTCTATTGTGCTGTACCATGGGCAGTTCTGAGAGGTGGTATCAAGAGTTGAGAAAGATTTCCTCCCCTTATTTTTAACCCATTTTTTTAACACCAAATACATTTATTAGAAAAGAAGGAAGAAATATCCTCATAGCTTTAAGAAATTAAAAACAGAATAAAACCAAAAACGAAAATAAAACACAATCTCTTATCAAAGTGCTAATACCATTTTTCATAAAGATTAACATTTTGAATCTTACATTTCTATAAAAATACAACAGACTCAGAATAGTCTAAACAATTTTGATAAAGGAACAAAACTAGAGCTCCAACCCTCTCCAATCTCACTTTAACCCATTTCTTTTCCTGTGCTACAAGCCTTCTCAGGAGGAGAACAGGAACTGAGATTAACTCAAGACAATCCTTTTTTTTAGTTTTTTAAGAGTTGTGTAGCCCGCCACCCACCTTAGTTCTATGTGTGCAAGACACAACCCCAGAGAAGCCTAAGGCTCATGTTTACACTACACTGCAAGCCAGGAAAGAGCAGTGCTGCGCCCAGGTCCCACTATTCAAGTAGTTGGTACCTGTGTCCTCCCCAGTCAGCAAAGCTGAATGGTGGTCTGGCTTAATCACCTGGTCAGCATTAGTTTTATCTTGAAAGGGAGAGTCTTATTTCAAAAACCTTTTGCATTAATTTCCTTTGCATTTCTTTAGAGCTTTGAAGCAATGGTTTACACTAACAGAGAAGATATTATAGCAGCTGACAATGCCTTCTTCGGAGTGTACAGTAATTGTGAAGCAGAACAGGAGCTCTTTAAACTCCCAGCAAATGTGTACTTCTGGTTCCTAAGTCCAGTTGTTAAAATCTGTAAAGGACGTTTTAACCTAATAACTCTTTATTACCTTTCTTTTCTCTTAAAGACCTCTTGGTGTCAACTAGTTTACTAATTTTGCTGGGTTTGACATAGTAAGTACTCAGAGATAACCTATATCCTTTTTTTGAAAGCTGATTCTCATGAAATACAGTAGTGAGTTCACTTCTCCTGTTTATTAAAGTACCTGCACAAAATGCACCAAAACCTGGAGCAGTAGTTTTATGTAAACGTTCGTAAGTTTTAAAATTAACTAAATGTTTATGAGTTTTTAAATTAAATTTTAAAAAATTTAATACAATGACAACTATAAATGTACCATAATTCATTCAACTGCTTTAAAAAACCTCATTATGTCTTACATAACTCTCAGCAAGATCTTTGAAGGGTATAGAATGGTGGCATTTGTTTGAGATATTAAGACATAGGTTTTATTTAAAAGGTGGAGAGTTCTGCTTGAAGAAGAGAGGAACTAAGAATGGACACAGAAGAATACTCAAGTCCCAAAGGAGCTCCCAGTGATCTATGTCTGTGAAGAATGAAATGAAATGAAATAAAATTTACAGAGCCAATCATATGTAGTGCATGAATATAACACAATGCACAAGCAAAGGATTAAAAGAATGGTCATTTTTGATGCTCAAGGAAGCCTGGAATTTAGAAAAGTATGTTTTTTACATACCTGGACCTTTAGTAGGAGGTGGTGGTTTCTTTGGTTTCTGTTAACATAACAATGGTAAAAATGGTCAATTAATTGTATATTATACTTAAATTTTGATTAACAATTTAATTATATGAGGAACTCTCGTCAGCTTATCCATGCCAAAAATGACAAAATGCTACTAAGATCCTAACAGTTCCATAGAAGGCCACTGAACAAACTTATTCCATTAGGTTAAATTCAGTCAAATATTTAAAAAATTATCATAAACTCAAAAAGCCCCATTAAGCAAGAATAGTCCATCCTATCTTTCCTAGCTTGAGATTCCTAAGCCCGTGACATTCTTATGCAACAACTCAGGACGGGTGGCAGATAAGAGACTTTGTTTAATAAAAAATAACAAAACTAACAGTAAACAAACTTCACTTTTACTCTTCAGAACTTTCAAAGGGTTCAAGGCAATGAATGCTCTCTCTTTCCTTAATTAAGCTTTCATTCATTATTTAAGACAATTTAATGTCTTAAAAATATAAATTAAGAATGCCTGGCAAGCAATAATGTGTAAACACACAATAAAAGCAGAAAAAGTAATGTGTTCATTTTTTTTAAAAAGTGTAAAAATAAACTATGCCAAACAGTAAATCAATGCTGGGTACCATGGAGCAAAGGAGTAACTCCGCCTATGCCTCCCTAGCTTACCAACCAACCAACCAAAGTCCACACAACTAAATGAGAGAGTGCAAAGCCTGGAGGTGCTGCACTGCCCATACTACATCCAATGGTAGGCCCAGAGACAAGCTTCCACTGTTAAACTGCCCTCCCTTTATATTATGAACTCATCTATGTCCCCTCTGGGAGAAAAGGGATCAAGTCATAGGCAAAAGATCATTGAAATATGACTCTCTTTGAAAACTGACAAATACTAAATCCAATAAAGAGGCAAAAATTTTTCTTTGGTAGTATCTTGAAATACAGTCAAACTTTTACCATTAAATACAAATAGTTTCTTCTAATCTGGGAAATTACTTATTTATCCAACTGTCCAAAAGCCTTAAAAATTATGAAGAAGTCTGTAGTAACTTGTTAGTACATATAGTGGGGGTACAGGTTATAAGCACAGAACTGAAATATTTCTATTATTTTACTGTCATCCAAGTAAATTTTACCTAAATATATAATTTTATGAAATGCCTTTATCAAAATTACTCAACAATAAAACAAAAATATTTTTAAAAAACACTGAGAGAACGTTGAAGAATTATTATTGAAAAACAGAAGCCTACAGGGAAGTCTTTATCCAAGTCAGCGATCTGAATGGCAAAGTTGTCTGGAAATACTCCCTCTTTGCCGTTCAGTTCACCTTTCCACCAGCCAGCTTCTCCAGTGTCCTAAAAAGCAAAACAAAGACTAATTAAAATAATGGGAGGTAACATAAAATGAAAGGAAAGTTTATAATAAAGTAGGAAAAATACTGAGTTTGATTATCTTTACAAGAAAAATGACTTAAGCAGATCATAGGGTCCTTCTGAAAGAAATTGTTCCGAAGTGTTACTTTTAGCAGAAGTTACAAAATTGGGTTTAGTTTAAAAAAATGAGTCAACTTTGAAATTTCATCTACAAGTTAAAAAGTTATCAGGCGTAAAGAAAGATGAAAGGGAAAAAAGTGAAAAAGGAAGTCAAGAGAGAAAGAATATGAATTTCTACATTCAACATTCTTAACACTCTTATACACTACACATTACCTATTTAGCAACATTAAAAATTAACAAGCTCATCTAAGTTCCTTCCAAATACCCACCCTAACCCTAACCCGATCTAATCCATCCAATCTCAAAAATATTAAAAATCACAAACACTATAGGACTCATGGCAAATAGATTCTGCTTGCTTTACCACATAGGTAACTAAGATCATGTATAGATTCACTGCTTTACTGTGATAATTTTCCCTCTTTATTTCATAATGTATTACACACTTTAGATGAAAAGTATTTTTTTAAAAATTATATACACTAACCCATCTGAAAACAAAGTCAATTTAGAACAGTGGGAAAGGGGCTGTAATACAGCTCAGTGGCATAAGCGCCTGGCTGGCAAGAGTAAGGACCTGAGTTTGATTGCTGACACCAAACAAAAACAAAGACAAACCCACATACATACAATGAGAAAAACTTATATTTGTAATGTTCTTATAAGTAGTTGTTACTGTTCTATCTGTATCCAAATACTATGGGGTTTTCCTCCCTTTTGTCTCAGAATTCATTCCAAGCTATAAAATCATTTCATGTATTGAAATAATCATTTCAACATAATTTTCCACAGGCTGAAGCTTCATGACACATACTGAAGGACATTTAGATTGCTTCTCTAGTTTTCTTCTTTGTATGTTATAAACAATGCTCCAAACAATAAACTGCAAAAATGTCATAGCAGTGAGGACAGAACTCTGGGAAGCCTGGGTTAATAAAGAGAAAACCAAAAATAATAATAATTTTTAAATTTTTAAAATAAAGAAAAAAAATAGCAGCTGGGGCATAAGCACCTGCCTGACAAGCACGAGTTCAATCCCCAGTAACAAAGAAAAAAATAAAGAGAAAACCAATGTGATTACTAGCCAACTTCCAATCTATCAATTATGACAATAAACTAGCTTTTAAAAAAATCTTTCTGGCGAGGGATGATGGCACATTGCCTATAAACCCCATACTCAGGTGGCTGATGCAGGTAGATCACCATGAGTTTGAGGCCAGTCTGGGATACATAATGAATACAAGGGAAGCCTGAACTATACAAGAATCTATGTGAAAAAAAAGAAGACAAAAACAAAAAACCTTCTGGACACTACATATGAGGTCCTACAGACTCAGAATCAAGTCTCAGTTCTTCCAGTATTTACATTCTAGAAACAATGCAGAATTCTGAAAACTATTTCTACAAATAAAATAATGACTCACTGAAACAAATCCTTACCTTACTTATCAAACGAATTATCTCCCCTTCTTTAAAAGTAAGTTCATCTTCATTAGATCCTTCATAGGCAAATAGCGTTCTACAATATTCCTTAGCTGTAATAAAAAATGGAAATAGCAGCGTATAGAAATAGACCCATTCAATAAATATTTACCAAGCTTCTACTTTATGTAAAGTAAAATATATCAGGACCTACTAAAAACAAACATTTCAAATTTATATTTTTAAACTTATAGTTGATAATTCTGTTAAAAGACAATTCTATTAATAAGTCTTCAAATATTCACTAGAGGTCTACCAAGTCCCAGGCAAAGCCCTGCCTCATCAGTGAACACAGTATTTCAAAGTCTAACCTCATGCTGCTCACACTGGCCAGCAGCATCTAATATTCTGTTTGGTACCATAACAAATGCCTCCAACAAGCTTAGTAACATATTTGAATACATCTCTCCTACAGAGGTTTTATTTAAAAACTTACCTTTAATTTTACCTTCGGTTTCTGTTTTTGTTATCTCCACATTCTGGGTTTTGGGTCCTATAGACTATATGATTACGGGCCAAAACAAAAAAGGATGAGGTCAACTAACTTGTTATAAAAGGATGATATTATTTAAGTTTCCATTTATAGTAATCTAATTTCCTGAAAAGTTCTTTAAATAATACATATTAATTCTTAAACAATCCTCTAATGCTCATAACTGCATTATTATGATTTAATTTTAGAATAATAATAAAATATTTTACATGTTTTAATGCTCTAACTATCTGCATGGAGTAGACATTGTTAATCTTCCCTTTTACAGATCAGAAAGCAGTTACATCACCTCCTGACATAACAGCAATTTATTAGTGGGGCTGAAATCAGAACCTACATAATCTGACATGACGGTACACTGTTAGCACTAAAATGTAAAAAAAGGCAGTTCTTTGTATTTCATTACTCTCCAAGTAAAAATATTTAGGTAACATTACATCCCTAACAGGGTCCACATAGCCATTTTCTATTGTAACAATAATAAATTCTTTACTACTTTGAACAAATGCTTCTTTGCATTCTCTCCCCAGAAACAATAGCACGTTCAACCTAAGATTTAATGAAGTATTTGAACACATGGCACACTTATACATCTCTGTGCTTTGCAGTTACCTTCTAAGACACTATCTTTAATATATCCTAATCCTCACGGCCCTACTTCATCTTAAGAGTAGATACAAATGAGAACTATAGAGAAACTCAAAGAAGATGCCTCCTATCTAAAGTAAACAATCTGAACCTCCAAAATGCTACACAAAGAGAAAAAACATTGAAAGAAATGTTGTAAAGACTGTACTGAAGTGTTTTTCCCCTCAAAATAAAAATTTGTGGTTTAAGGTATTTCATTAAACCTTGTAAGTTATGGTTCACAAACTTTGCTTCATTTGACAATGCCAGTAAAACACTAATGGAAAAAAACCTATATACTTTCAGGAGAGATCAGTAAATGTAACTATTACTGACAATCCAGAGGAAAACATCATACTATAACAATGTATGTATACCTCATTGTGAATTCATTTTAAATTTTTTTTAAAAATCAAATTTTAACTTAAAAAAAATCAAAAAGCTAAAACAAAAAACTTCTTCCCTTTTCCATTTATATTGTATAACTAAAAAACCTAAAGACTCTAGGAAAAATTTACCAAGAAATAACCATCCTTATTTAGTAAGATTTATACATAAGAATATCAATTGTTACACACTTCAAGAGAAGTTTCCCTCAGAGGTCTCATTTACAACCAAGATATTATGATTTTTAAAAAAAGAAAGAAATCTAACAGAGTTGTAAAGTTTTTATGTTTTAAAAATATTTAATGAGAGAATAAATAAAGGTAATCTAAGTTAAATTCATCATTACCACCTTTTCAGATTTTTTCTCTTCTGTTTCACTGCTGGATGTTCTTGTCCTAAGTTTCAAAGACCCATCTTTGAAAATGTCTCCAAACCCAATTCCTCGAATTTTCTTTGGCTGAGGGACTGTCCCTGGTGCAGTCTCACCACCATTCCCCGGGGAGGGTAAAGGTGAGGTCAGCACACTCAGAACAGAGTCTGAAAAAAAAGTATGATTTTAAAGAATGACATCCTTATCGTAACACTCTTCAAATATGGTTAACTACACACAGAAAAGCATGGAAGTTAAAAAAAAACAAAGGACTAAAAATGATGCAGCATGGTAGAAAACAAGTATCACCTTCTTCATGCCTATTGACTGATAGGCTTAGAAATGAAATTATGAGAAACTAGAATATACCCTGTGGTATTAAATTGAAATTACAGGTACCAGTAGACAAAGGGAGATAGATAAAGGTAAGAGACAAATAAAGACATAGCTGGAGCTGCAGCTGTGCAGGCACTGCCCAGCTTCATCTACTAAGAAACATCATCACCCCCTTACCATGAGTACACCACCATTTATAAATCCATGTTATACATAGAACCATATAATGTTTCCTATTTAATTTCAAAATAGTTGTATATTCTTATATAAAATATTGAAAGTATTGACAAAAGAAAGCAAACGGGTGGGTTCAAAACCACACTTGTCTATTACTATGCACTAAAGTCAAAATGGATCAAAGATCTAAATATTAAAACAGAAACACTAAATCTACTGGAAGACAAAGTAGGTAGAAATCTTGAAGACATGGGGTAGACAAGGAGTTCATGAACAAAATGCAAATTGGGAAGTACTTCAAAGAATCAACAACTGGGACCTCAACTTATTAAAAAGTTTTTTACACATTAAAAGAAATCACCAACACAGTGAAAAGAAAGTCCACAAAATGGGAAAAAATTTTAACCAACTGTTCCTCAGATAAAAGGCTTAAAGAACTGAAAAATATCAGGCCCCCTAAATTCAAAGACCCAGTCCAAAAATGGTCATTTGATATGAATATGCACTTGTTAGGTGAAAAAATACAAATGGTAAATAAATACAGGAAAAATGTTCAACATCACTGGTCATTCGAGAAATGCAAATTAAAACAGCACTCGAGGTTTCATCTCACCCCAGAAAGAATGGCTATCATCAAAAAAGTCAACTGAAAAGAAATGCTGGAGGGGCTGTGGAGAAAAAAGAACCCTTTTCCACTGCTGATAGGAGTGCAGATCGGAATGACCACTGCGGAAATCAGTGTAAAGATTTCTCAAAAAAAAATAAGATTGGAGGTCCTATTCAATCCAGCTATTCCTCTTTTGGGTATTTACCCAGAACGGAAAACATCATACCATAACAATATATGCATACCCGTGTTTTGTAACAGCACAATTTGTAATTGCTAAATCTTGGAAACAACCCAAATGTCCATCAACCACAGAACAGATAAAAAAAGATGTGGTCCTGGAGCTGGGGATTTAGCTCAGCGGTATAAGCACCTGCCTTGCAAGTGCGTGGTCGTGAGTTCAATCCCGGTACCAATAAAAAAAAAAGATGTGGTCTTTTTACATAATGGAATATTATACAGCTATAAAGAAGGATAAACTTGAAGCTTTAATAGCTAAATGGATGCAGTTTGAGACCATGCTTGTAAGTGAAATACATCAGACTTGCACGTGTAAATACCATATCATCTCCCTAGTGTAAAAAACTGAAAGAGTAAATAAGACCCAAATTTACAGTAAGGTACTGTGAAAGGGAAAGGGAAAGAAACTGCTTAAAAGGAAAAAACAACTGAGATAGGGCAAAGAAGAATAGAAAGGGAAAAGTCTGTGTGTGTATGTGTGTGTATATACACTCAAGATAGGTAACTATACTACTAATCTGTCAGTTCATCAAAAACAATGGTTTGTGCTTTTGTTGTTTGATCCTTTTTTATGCCTATATCTTATAATCTGAACAACTATTCTGAAGATAACAATATATATTAATCATGGTTAATCTATTATTTTGTTTCAAAATTCTGTATCATTTTTATTCTTTTTTTTTCATTTTTAAAATTAAAAAAAGGAAGGAAGGAAGGTAGGTAGGTTGGTTGGTCAGTTGTTTGGTCAGTCACAAGCAATGACACAAGCAATATGCTTGGAAACTTGTTAATTCACACAATACCCTTTTAAATAATAATTATTACTCCTGATTTGCAAACAAAGATTTACAGCTGGACACAACTGCTGCCCCATACCTTAGTATGGGATATCTACAGCAAGATGTTAAAGACCACTGTCTCTTCAGGACATGATAAGAAGTGTTATACACACAATAGGCTGAACAGTCTGACCATTTCATCTCACTGTTTGGAATGATCCTCTCCGCCCCATGGTGCTGGGAATTGAACCTTGCACATGATAAGAAATACTCTGCCAATGAGCTATACCTCAGCATGATATGTAATTTCAATACCTGGACGTTACTCAGAAAACAATCATAAAATTGTGACGCAATGGCTAATACAAGCATAAATCCATGAAAAGTCTCACTATCTATACTCTCCCATCAAGAGAAATACTACTTATCTGTACATACACCTATAATCCCAGTACTCCTGGAGCCTAGGATAGGAAGTCTATAAATTCAAGTTGGGGTTGAAATTCAATGTGAAGGTTATAGATTCAATTCCCAGAAAAGAACAAGATTTACTCATCCTTGCTTGCCACTCACAAATTTAATTTCTCTTTTTAAAATTTTTTCTCCTAAATCCAACAGCAATATTAGCAAAACTGTCCTGAGGTAAAAATTTTCAGAATCACACTTTTGAAAACTGAGCAAGACAAGGTGTATTGGGGCTGGGGATTTAGCTCAGTGGCATAAGCACCTGCCTTGTAAGCAGGCGGTCGTGAGTTCGATCCCTGGTACCAATTAAAAAAAAAAAAGATAAGGTGCATTACTGCATACCAATGACATCACAAAACAAATGGCAAGTACCCAGAGGAAATCTATTATGTGAATATGGAAAACAATAAAGAGAACATTTTTTAATTTTTAAAATCTCTCAAATGTGAGGTATTTGCAAACTCAAGAGTTCAAAAGTACATAGTAAATGTATCATACACAGTAGGAAGGAAGCAGGTAACATAAGTAGCATTTTTTAGTCATTGTATTTTAGGTTTACTTATGCTTAAAGCAGATATCAGAGAAGGAAAGATATGAAATCATTTGATCAATGGTGGCAAATCTATGGCATGCATGCTGCAGCAGGTTATTATCATGGAAAGTTCTAAAAAGTTCACCATCACTGGACTAGATATTTCATTCTCTTCTACCTTTATCGTAACATCCTTTATAAAAACAGACTAAGTAAAAGTGACTGAAAGTTTGAAAGTAAGCAGAACACAATTTCTAAAATGACTAACCAACAGTGGGCCTATAGTAAGCGAATTTAAATCTGTGCAGAACACGTCGTTTTCTACCTGGCTCATCCTGGGCTTCCAGAGTATCACCCTCATCTGTGCCCTCCAGCTCTTTCACAAAGTTCGAAGGAAACAACCCCGACTTGTGGTTCAGAGTTCCACTCCACCAGCCTTCTTCCACCTGAAAAAATACACAACTCAAAAACACTAAAAATCTCTTTCAAAGAGAAAACCCCACCCTGTGGGAAAAATGGAGCTTTAAAAACAGATGCACACATGACGCAAAATAAATACTTTAAAACAATAAAACACAAAGCAGAAGGTATGTTTTAAATCGATTATGTCTAAATGGCTTAGTCATGTATAGGATTAATTGTATTGCTAGTATCTTTCAACACTTACAATGGGCAATGTCTGCAAAGGGAGTATCTTTCATGAAAGTATCAGGCATTAAGAAGTATGAAGAGCAAGATGTACAGAGTTGTTCTAGAACATCATTCAAACATAAACTATTACAACATACACTACTGACCATATTTAGAAATTTTGGGCTTGGAAACAGTTTGATGACTATAAGAATGCAACTTCTTAAATACCACAAAAATTACTAACCCTTCATTGACCAGTGATTTTTTAAATCAAAATATGAAGAAGAATTACTTTTACAAATTCAGGTATCACACTACTAAAAATTCCTTTTCAAACAGAAATACTCTCATGAATCAAGGTCTTAGAGAAAAATATTTACATTTCTTTTTTTTTTTTTTTTTTTTGTCTTTTTACTTTTTATCGGTACCAGGGATCGAATTACGACTGCCTGCTTGCAAGGCAGGCGCTTATGCTGAGCTAAATCCCCAGCCCCAAATATTTACATTTGATAATAATAACATTACTCAGTTTCCATGAGGTTATTTAATAATTCTTTGAAATATATGATTTCTGCCAAGGATGCTAACCAGTTAATTTTAATGAGTAAAAGCAATTTTTAATATGTAAACCATCAAAATGTATTTCACTATATGAAACATCATAGCTAGAAAGATCTTAATTTCTTCCTATCATAACCTCAAAGCAAACTTTTTACGTTATTCACCTAACACGTATACACTATTTACAAGCTATGAAGTTAACTATCAGACAGAAATTCAAATTTGTAAATAAGACATCCCTGCACTGGAAGAGAACAATCTAAGAAAGAAAATAAACAATAAGCAGATAATTATAATACAATGTAAGAAGTATTATAACAAAAAATATAAACAAAATGCTATGGGAACACAAAGCAAGTGCTTGAATCAATCAAAAAACACCATCTCAAAGGACAAAAGAATATATTAAAACCTGAATAAATTGAGTTTTCCAGGTAAAAAGCACATGAAAAATAGGGCAATATAGCAATAAATGATTTATTCATGAAAGGTAGAATGAAGTGTAAGGGGACTAGAACAAAAGCTGTGTGAAGGAGCAAGGTAAGGCTGTAAGCATCAACTGTTCAAAGTTTTTAGCAGACTTAAGGAAGTACCAAAGGCCTGAGTGTGATTCAAAACAGGCATGATGGGGTTAAGTAGACCAAACTGCACAGCAAAGTGAGAGAAATGTTAAATTACCATCTGTGCTTGAATCCTAACTATCTGCCAGTACATAATTAATCTGCAAGTGAATAATCAAGGCTAACTTAGTCCAGGAATTCCTGTGAGGCAGAACAGCACAGCTGTAAAGAACATGTATTCAAAAACAGATTGCATGGATTTAAATTTGGACTCCCCTACACCAAGCATGAAGTTAGGTGAAGAAGGCTGCATTAAGATCTCCATCTCAGGGCTGGAGATTTAGCTCAGCGGCATAAGCAACCTGCCTTGTAAGCAGGTGGTCCTGAGTTCGATCCCCGGTACCGATAAAAATGAAAAAGACAAAAAAAAAAAAAAAAAGATCTCCATCTCACAAATGTGGTCCTAACACTATTCCCATAGAAGTGGTGACCTTTGTGTCCTTCACCTGCCATCTTCAAGGGCTGTACCTGGCTTGCAGCCAACAGAACATAGTGAAAGTGACACTAGCATTTCTAAAGCTACCCTGTAAAGGCATTTCACCATGCTTGCTGAAATGCTTACACTTGGAGCTGTGAACTTGCTTTAAATTATAAATTCAGTGTCCCTACACAAAAATATTTGGATCCAGAGCACTTCAGATCTCAAAGTTTTTCAAACTTTCAAATATTTCCATCAACATTTCCATTTAAGTATCCCTAATCCAAAACTCCAAAATCACAAACTCCAAAAATCTGAAATTCTGAGTTTTGTATCAGTATATAAAAAGGTACAGATTAAAGAACATTCCATATTTTCAGATTTGGAGTGCTTAATATGTAAATCTGACTACCTAGAGGCCTCCAAACTATAAGAAAATCAAGCCAAATAAAGGTTACACAATGGTTCTCCAGGTGGCAGTTCTAGCCTGTGAGGTTTCTAGGCATTAGACTTTGGGTACAGTAACTTTCCTATGATGCTGCCAGCCCCCAATTTTGAATTTTCCCACCTGAGGCCCCAGACACTCTGAGTCACAAGTAATCAGCCCTGCCACACCTTATCTGAACTCCTGACCCACAAAATCACAAGAACTGCTGTCACTGTTTGTAGCAACAACTGTACCTAGAACAGTCAATCAGTTATCTTCTGAAATTCAATCTCTCCCTATACAAAATGAGGATAAAAATTCTTATCCTGAGGCCAGGTGGGCATAGCGGCACACTTCTGCAATCCCAACACTTGGGAGGCTGAAGCAGGAGGATTGCCGTGAGCTGTAGGCTAGCATGAGTTATGTAATGAGCTCAGGAATAACTTGAACCACATTGCAAGACCCTGTCTCAAAAATAAACAAAAACAAAAACAAAAATTCCCATCCTTTTAGGATGTTTAGAAATTTAAAGGAAATAATAAATGTGAAAGAGTAGAGCAGTTCAAATAAAATATAGGCTCAGTAAATGTTTTATTATTATTTTTTTTACATGGAAATAAAGTAAAACTTTTTTGTAGTACATACTGGAAGTAGAATACACTGGAAGTGAACATAAACATTAGTAGTAAATTAAATTGCAGTATGGTGTGACTCCCCACCAAAATCAATATTGACTACATGATACCAAAATATACGCTTTGTAAAGGGGATCTCTATGTGCCAAACAAAACTTTAATACTTCTTCAATGATGAAAGCAGAGAATGAAAACTAACTCCTAAAATACTTTTGTATCTCTTTCTAAAATATTAAAACTATAGAAAGGGAAGGTTGTTTTGGTTTATTTTGAGAGAAAGCCTCACTATGCAGTTCAGACTGGCCTTAAACACACTTTGTAGCCCATGCTGGCCTCAAACTATCAGTGATTCTCCTGCCTCAACCCCTGAGTGCTGGGATTACAAGCATGCACTGTCTTGCCAGAATGGAAAAGGTATTCACGGCTGATATTTGATTACAATAATTCAAACAAGGCAAAACTTAGTAAGTTTCCATTTTGCATCCTTTTATTATGCAAAAGGTACTGCTTTATGCCTATAATGAATTCAAAATCACAAAAAACGCTTCTATGTCCTCACTCTTTAATTTTTACCTTAAAAAAAATTTTTTTTTCTAATTCCTCAGTGAAGCATACAACTAATATATAAATACTAGTATAAAGCAAAGGTAAAATCTATACCTTTAAACTTTATTAAAAACAAACTGGCACAAATTCTCACTAAAAATTAATATTCTTCCAAAGCATTTTTCTAAACTCAGACTATCACTTACATAACTGCTGGTTACCACTTTCATGGCATCCTTACCTCCTCAGTAATATCAATGATATCTCCCACCTTCAGCTCCAGCTCATCCTCATTCTGTGGAATGTACTCAAAGAGCACTTTACACTGACGCTTCTTGGCTTCTAAAAGAAACAATAAAAAATCAGGTTGAGAAGATCATTTGAAAAAGAGCATTTAGAGCTGGAGATTTAGCTAAGTGGCTCAAGTGCTTGCCTGGTAAACACCAAAGGTGTGAGTTTGATCCTCCGTACCAGGAAAAAGAAAGAGAGAGGAGAGAAAAGGGGAGGGAAGGGGAGGGGAGGGGAGGGGAGGGGAAGGGAGGGGAGGGGAGGGGAAGGGAGGGGAGGAGAGGTTTTGCTGATAGTTCTCTTTCTAGGACCCTAAATATTCCTTATACAACATATCTATTTTAGTCTGTGCTGCTTTAACAAAATACTGGAGACTAAAAATTTTATAAATAGAATTTTTTTGTGATGTTCTAAACACTGCTCATTCCGAGATCAAGGTACCAGGAAATTCAATGTCTAGTGAAGACCCACTTACTATGTAATATAGTCATCACTTTTGGAAGGGCAAAAGGCTACTTTGCTCTGACCCTTTCACAAGGTGCTAATCTCTTCATGAGGATACAGACCTCTTAACACCTGCCAAAGACCTCATATCTAAATATCATCCCTTTGAGGATTAATCTTCAACTGAATTTTGGAAGGATCACCATTCAAAACACAGAAGCTTCCATTAAACAGTTGTCAATGAGTTATGAACAAGCATCTAGGTCTAACCATACAGAACATCAACCAATTGTCCCAGAAGGACAACATTCCATTGGCAGCCTACCACCAACAATCCTAACAATATTTTTCCTAATAATTTAAATGTACACTTGAAGAATTAAACAAGTAGTGACATGCTGAATACATAATCAGTCAGTAAAATATTTAGTACAAATTCCAGATATTCCAAAAGTCAACAAAAGAACAGTCTGAATTAAAGCAGACATGAATACCTTCAAAGAATAGAGTTATAGGATGAAAGAGGAACAAGACAATATGCAAGAATCAGTAAGATAAATGTGACAGACATTCCGGTTCAAAGGGGCAGTTTTACCAACAAAATAGGGTTTGGTAATACAATGACTCTAATGACAGGTGGGAATAAAGAATCCTGAGAAGTAATCCAGGGAGTCAGAATTTCACTACATCAAATCTTGACCATAAATATCTCCAAATACTTTCTATACAGAAAGACATGATGGTGCAATAGAAATATCACATGCTTGGAAGTCAGAAGATTTGACTTCTGACTAAGGCCAGTCATCAATGCCTATTTATTTCACCTAAACTCTCTAGAAATCAACTCACAAGTGACCATACTATCACCAAATGTTAAGAGTGATGTAGCCAATCTCTATGATTCCGTCTTTAAAAATTCTTTATCTTTCAAAAGAATTTCATAATATTTGCCTTGACATGAAAGATTCAAGCTGCTTAAGACACTAAGCTATACTTTTGAGATTTACTTAAACTTAAAAATCTTAGAAACATTTATTATCAGTATCAAGAAAAAACTCATCAAAAGTATCATGTTTGCAATATACTTTCAATTAAGTGAAAAAGTAGTAATATTCGTATACAGATATGAAGACAAAACCAAAAAAATAAGGAAAAGAAAATAAAAAAAACAATGGGCAAGGTGGAACTTGCCTATAATCTCAGCACTTGAGAGGCTGAGGCACGAAAACTACTGTGGGTTTGAGGCCAGCCTGGGCTACAAAGTAAGACCCTGTCTCCAAAAAAAAAAAAAAGAGAGAGAGAACAAACATCAAGATAAAGCCAATGTGACAAAATTTTAACAGCAAACTTAGGAGAAAGGTGTACCAGTTCACTGCAAAACTATCCCTTCACATTTTCACAGACTTAAAATTTTTCCTAAGACTGAAAAAAATGTCATCTTTCCCACAAGAAGGCTAAAGGCTGTATCAGGTTGGACTGGTTTTTTGTTGTTTTTTCTTTTTGAGACAAACTTTCATAATGCAATTCAGGCTAGTCTTGAACTCACACTATAGCTCAGGGTGGCTCAAACTCACAGCAGTCTTCCACCTCAGCCTCCCAAATGCTGGGATTATAGGCATGTGCCACCACAGCTGGCCAGGAAGGAGCCATTTGAATGTATCTTTCTCCCATAGACATCAGAGTATTTCAAGATCAAAGAACAGAGCCTGAACTAATGTACTATACATTCTTCAAAAATGTATGCTACAAAAATGTAGTCAGTGGCCATAATTTGATAATATGCAATGTCCACTACTGTCTCCAGCACTGACTCAAAATCAGGAAGCAAACTATCCCCTACCACATTTTCTGAAAATAAATAAATGCATAGTATTCTGTCGACTAGTTTCTCATGTGCACCTTTAGTATACCAGCAAGTAACCTACCAGTACCAATCTCACTGTATCTTTTCGTTCAAATAATTAACTAGATAAAAAGTCACTTCCCCCGTAGCATAATTTTCTAACAAAGGAAATCAGCAAGCAATAGCATCACAAGTAGAGGCTAAGCCATGCAGCATTAATTTCTTTCAAATGTAAAGTGAATTAAGTATTAATTCCACATTGAATGTAAACAAGAAAAGTCAAAAGATGTCAACTGTTTACAACTACTATCTTCGTGTTTGATTTTATTGTGTTTGATTTTATAAAGGTGTCACAAGTAATGTAATTTGTACCTGTTTTGGCTTTAAGAAATGAAAACTTGTTCTCTTTAGAGATAGCAATTTAATCAACTTTTTCTCAGAAAACACAACTGTGTATGCTTGCTCTGGAAAAATACCTGTTTTACCAGAGAAAATAATTTGCATAATAAAGTGCAGCAGCACAAGATTCATCACTATGTAAGCCAACAACACACAGTGAGGTCTAGAGAAAAGCTGTTCACAATGCCAATAAAATCCATTCTTCATTCTGTTAAACAAACCACATCAGACTCATGCGAAGATCTCCTTTTCAGTTGCTTGCACAAAATCAAAACACATACGAATTCACTTTACCTAACCCACAGATTTGTTTTGGTTTTTCCTTTTTTTTTTGGTCTTTTTCGTTTTTATCGGTACCAGGGATCGAACTCACGACAGCCTGCTTGCAAGGCAGGCACTTATGCCGCTGAGCTAAATCCCCAGCCCGTTTTGGTTTTTCTGGTTGGAAATGCACATTTAAATTGTTTTTTTCTCTACCAATTCTTTTTCTTAATATACTTAGTACCTAGAGGAAATTCTGCTGGGCCAATCTCTTTGGAAATAAATGTTTAATGTTCAGATCCTTAACCACTAAAGAACCACCTAAAACCCTTTGAGTCTATACTGCTAACAATGAACAGATATTTTAGCATTCTAGTAAATAAGTCCTATTAAATAATTAAGGTGTTAATCTAAAAAGAGTCTGCAATACTAGTAAGAAAGCAACACCTTATATTTCAATTTATAATTCCTACAGATGGCTGTCAAGACACTCATGCTGGCTATCAATGTTACAGATTTCATATGACTAAAATGAAGATTGACTACATGGGCCAGAGTTAACAACGTGCTGAAGTTACTACAGTCTGCTGTAGAAAACTGAACGTATGAGCAGATATAACATTGTTGGGAGCCGCGTCTGTGATAGCTCGCCTTGCGCGGCGGACGTGCGGCCTGTGGTAAAGAGCAAAGCCTGAGGTAGATTACCCCTCCCATCGAATATGTTAGTTTCCTGCTTACCGCGTAAACAACCCGCTCAACAATATAGTCTGCCTGGCAACTGATGATGTTAGCCAATCAGCTTGCCTTGCTTACTTTAACATGATTGGACACTGTACCCGTATATATACCGGTGCCACCCCTGGGCGGAAGAAGAAGCCAGGTAGAAGCCCAGAAGTAAAAGCCCAAAAGGAGCCGCGGAGAGCGGACCGGTAGAGGCTTTGGGGCAGACTGAAGCACAAAAGGAGCCGCGGGGAGCGGACCAGAGGAGGCTTCAGCTGGGAGAACCCAGGGCAGGCTGTACGGAGAAGGAAAATAAAAAGAAAAGGTTGTCCACTACCAGACTTTGTCGTGTGTCCTTCCTGCCGGCCGGGAGCGGACATCGACATTTGGAGGCCCGCCCGGGGACTGATCACCCCCGCGACGTGGAAGTGGACAACGCTCCAGTACAGAGCTGCGAGACAGGTGAGTTGGGGATAAGCCTGGGCTCTGGGTGGCGCGCACCTACAGGGCTTTTAGACTCCCCTCAGGCTCACGCGTAAGTGGCGGATTCCTTGGGCCTCACGCGGTGAGTAACATATTAAAAAATGGGAAACATGCTAGGTAGCGGCACTAAGAGCGAGGGTGGTTGTGGAGAAAGCTCTCAAGAGCTTACAAAAGTACGCAGGGTATCTGAGCAGGCCCAGTCAGGGAGCTCCCGAGAGGTGTCTGTCAAGGGGAACAAGGATGCTAAGGAGGAGGACGGGTCTCTAGCCTCGGAGTCGTCTGACTCCGAGGACGAGGGAAAGTTGAATGGCAGGGAGGCCAAAGAGACCAGCTGTCAGGAGCCTAAGTCGCTCAATAAGGAGTCGCAGGGTTCTTTTCCAGCGTCACGCCGCGAATTGCGCTCTGCTCAACCTGGTCTGCGGAGGAGTAGAGAGCTCCTGAGTGCGCCCCGGCGCGAGAGGGAGGCGGTCCCTCGCCACGAGGCGGCCGCCTGGGAGCTCCCTCCCCTTTCGCCAGAACAGGAAGTGATGCACGGGCCCCCATTTTCCGCCCAATCACGGCCGCTGTCTTATGCTCCGCCACCGGCGGGTCGGTATTTTTACAGGCGGCTTTGGCAGGGGGGACGCTTGTCTCATGAGGTACATCCACCTGGGATAGATAGTGGCCCCTACGAGATATTTCCTGTACAAGTAGCTATGGGCCAGGGACGCAATGTATGGGAGCCTTTTGAGATAAAGCAGATTAGAGAACTTAAAAATGCAGTTACAACCTTTGGGCCGACTGCGCCTTACACCATTGCCATGCTGGAGAATCTGTCTTCTGGGCCCCTCACCCCAGCGGACTGGATTCAGCTGGCAAAGGCGTGTCTGCCCTCGGGCAGTTACCTGGATTGGCGAGCCTGGTACGCAGAGTTCTCTGCAGAGCAGGCTGAGAGAAACGCCAATCGGGGAAACCGGGGGTGGAACAAGGAAATGCTTATGGGAGAAGGTCGGCACGCTGATGACCAGACCCAGTTCCCCGGCGCTGTCTATGAGCAAATCAATGCCATAGGACTCCGCGCCTGGAAGCAAGTAAGTGGTGCCGGAACAGCCTCCTTGTGTCTTTCAAAAATAATTCGGGGTACCACAGAGCCATTTGTTGACTTTGTGGCCCGAATGCAAGATGCTGCCGATAAGATATTTTCTGATCCGGGAGTGGCTCGACCGCTGGTAAGGCAGCTGATTTTCGAACAGTGTACAAAGGAGTGCAAGGCAGCGATAGCTCCTCATAAGAACAAGGACCTCAATGCCTGGATTAGGATATGCAGAGAGATAGGGGGGCCGCTCTCCAACTCGGGAGTGGCTGCTCTCCTGGCCGCGGCTGTACAGCAGAGGGGACCTCGCGGGTTAGAAGGGGAATGTAAGGCTAAAGGGTGTTTTGCCTGCGGGGAGCCAGGACACATTAAACGTCATTGCCCAAACAATGCAGATGCTAGGCCTCGCCCTAGGAATGAAGAACCATATGTTTGTGGGCGATGCAAAAAGGGATCACACAAAGCTGAGGAGTGTAGGTCGGTCTTTGATGCTCAGGGCAACCGTATTTGTGGACAAGATGCTAGAGAGCCAAAAAACGGCCAGAGGGGGCCCCCTTCACAGGCGGGCCCCCGCCCCAGAGACAGGACAGCTCAGGATGGCAGCCTTCAACAAGGGCCACCCCTGGGTCAGCAGGTGTGGACCTCAGTGTCGCCTCCAGACTTATACAGAAGGTCACCATTAGGACGGATGGCGTTAGGACCCTAAATGACATGCAAAAGCTATTGGGAGACATTAATTGGATTAGGCCATATTTACATATACCAAATTCAGATCTCAAACCCCTGTTCGACCTTCTGAAGGGAGACCCAGATATAGCCTCCCACAGGAGGCTCACTCCTGAGGCAAGAGCTGCCTTACAGAGAGTGGAAAAAGCCTTAGGTGGGGCTACCTTACACAGAATTGAACCAGGGCGACCCTTTGATGTCTGTTTGCTACAGACTAGTCTACAGCCTACAGCGGTGATTTGGCAGAAAGGACCACTACTGTGGATACACCCTAAGGTCTCACCTGCAAAAGTCATAGAGCATTACCCGGAGGCAGTCGCTTCATTGGCCCTTGAAGCGCATGATAGAGCTGTCCAACATTTTGGCTCAGGACCACAAGCCATCCGAGTACCCTATACCGCCAGCCAGATCAAGACCCTGGCTGCCTGCATAGATACCTGGGCCATTCTGAGATGTGTTTTCCATGGGGATATAAACAATCAATACCCTAAAGACCCTATCTTGTCATTTGTCACTCAGCACCCTATAATTTTTCCAAAGGTTACTGCCTCTGAGCCATTAGTCCTAGCAACTACAATATACACAGATGGCTCCAAGACGGGGATAGGCGCCTATGTGATCCTAGGCAAGCCCCCGGTTACCATACAATTTAAACCAGATCAGCCTCAGGTGGTAGAACTGCAGATCGTTAAAATGATTCTTGAACGGTTCTCAGAAGCCATTAACATTGTCTCCGATTCTAGGTATGTGGTCAATGCTATGCAAGTGCTTGAGACTGCCAGTTTAATTAGATCCACTTCCACAGTGGCTGGACTGTTCCTGTCTATCCAGACATTGCTTCAGAACAGACACCATAAGGTCTTCACCACCCACATAAGAGCACATACATCCCTGCCGGGGCCCATGGCACAGGGGAATGCGGCTGCTGACACTGCCACTCGCCCGTTATGGATTTTTACCTTACTAACACCAATCGAGCGAGCCCGTGCCTTCCATGATAAGTTTCATGTTAATGCCAGGACACTAGCAAACCATTTCCATGTTTCTAGAGCAGATGCACGAGATATCGTGCGACTATGTGACTCCTGTGCCACATACAAACCTGCCATACCGATGGGAGTAAACCCTCGAGGTTTGATCCCTGGTGATGTTTGGCAGATGGACATCACACATATACAGGAGTTTGGGACTCTTAAATATGTTCATGTTTCCACAGACACCTGTTCTCACGTCATATTCGCAACAGCAGAAACAGGTGAAAAAGTGTCTAATGTGATCAATCATTGCCTGGCAGCTTGGGCCGCATGGGGCAAACCAAAAATATTAAAAACTGATAATGGACCAGCCTATATAGGCAAAGCCTTCAATGAGTTCTGCAAAATGATGGAGGTTCAATTAAAACATGGTATCCCATACAATCCCCAAGGTCAAGGAATCATTGAGAGGGCTCATAGAAGCCTCAAAGAAATTTTACAAAAACAAAAAGGGGGAGTAGGCCAAGGCCTGGCCCCAAAGGCACGATTATCCATGGCACTATTCACACACAATTTTTAAATTTAAATAATGATAATCGCTCCCCAGCTGTGGAGCACTGCAACCCTTCCCCCAACCATAAAGGGTGGGTGAAGTGGAAAGATGTCCTGACAGGACAATGGATGGGCCCGGATCCGGTAATCAGCTGGAACCGAGGCGCGGTTTGTGTTTTCCCACAGGAACCGGGACGAGAACCACTGTGGATACCGGAGAGACTGACACGGGCAACAAAGCCCTCGACTGAAGATCAGACCTGCCCTACTGGAGATCCATCACAGACCAACCAATAAGATGAATAGAAATAGCGGTAGCCCGAAATGGACAAGAAGATCCTCAGGCATATGCATGGCTTGCTCAATTGGCCCACGACCGAGTCTAGATATGGCGGGCATCCCTCATTCTCCTCCATAAGGTGACAATACACAGCAGGGTAGGTGAGTCAATGACGGGTAAGAGCGTGCCTCCCCAGCACGACTCGACCTAAGCCAGGCCCTACCCCATCCTGCACGTAAGCCGCTGGACTGTTAGATGCTGCCCAGGTCTAAATTTCTCTCCGAGGGGATTTCTTTACGGAGAGAGAATGAGTGCAAGCTTGTGTGCATCCAGGTTCCGTCCAGTTTGTGCCTGGCCCTAGAAAAAGGACGAGGGCCTCAGGGCCTTGGCAGACCATGGGACGGCCGACCAGGGTCTAAGCCAAGGACCTACGGTGGGCCTACGCATAGGGCATAAGCCTCTGCACCCAGTCCAGGAAGGGCTACGATGCGCACATTCATAAAAAATAAAAAAGGGGGAGATGTTGGGAGCCGCGTCTGTGATAGCTCGCCTTGCGCGGCGGACGTGCGGCCTGTGGTAAAGAGCAAAGCCTGAGGTAGATTACCCCTCCCATCGAATATGTTAGTTTCCTGCTTACCGCGTAAACAACCCGCTCAACAATATAGTCTGCCTGGCAACTGATGATGTTAGCCAATCAGCTTGCCTTGCTTACTTTAACATGATTGGACACTGTACCCGTATATATACCGGTGCCACCCCTGGGCGGAAGAAGAAGCCAGGTAGAAGCCCAGAAGTAAAAGCCCAAAAGGAGCCGTGGAGAGCGGACCGGTAGAGGCTTTGGGGCAGACTGAAGCACAAAAGGAGCCGCGGGGAGCGGACCAGAGGAGGCTTCAGCTGGGAGAACCCAGGGCAGGCTGTACGGAGAAGGAAAATAAAAAGAAAAGGTTGTCCACTACCAGACTTTGTCGTGTGTCCTTCCTGCCGGCCGGGAGCGGACATCGACATAACATATCCTCGTATTTTGGTGTAATTAAACAGAAATGAAATCTTTTACATACTCTTCTTAATGTTTTTGCTTTGTGGATGAGGCTGAATTCCTCCAGCTGGAAGGCCGTAAGCGCTCATTCGGTGTACAAGACTTGCTACATTTCCATGCCTTTCCCGTTTGATGGGCAAATTGTCATCCTTAGAGTCTGTCTCTCGTTTAATTTCCTATAAAGGAGGAAATCAGTAAAAAGATAAATTAAGTTGTATTTTATTAACATTAAATCCCTCAAACCAAAAAAACTAAAATAAGTATAATTACTACATTAATTATGGTAGCAAGTTTTCAACCTTTCACTCTGCTCAACTATCTAAAGAATGGGACTCATTTTGGTAAGTATGACTCCTAAGTATGAGATCATGCCTTTTGAAACTAGATATGGAAGGAAAGGAAAGGAAGCTGAAACTTAACACTACCTTTACCTCAACATGTAAGACATCCTGCAATACATAAAGAAACATAAGACAATTCTGTGTTAGAGGTGGGCAAACTTTCTACAAGGCACCTGACAGCAAACAGTTTATGACTTGCAGGCCTCAGTCACCACTGAAACAACCACTTATGTCACCTGTAACACAAATGCTGTCATATAATAATGAAGACACATACAGTGGTATCTCAGTTCACAAATTTAACTTGTTTCCACAATTCTGAGGAAGATGGCCACATTTGTATTCATGTGGGGAAAAGCTGAGGTCATATTTAATCACCAGATGCATAGTGTACAAACAGAAGCAAATTTTGCATGTTTGTCAGCCAAACTGTACACAAACAGAAGCGTCCAACTGAGGTATTACTGTGTCCCAGTAAACGTACTTGTGGACAATAAAATTTTATTTTTCACATGATATTTACAAGTCATATCTTTGGGGGTTTTTCTAACACTACCTATAAAATTCTTAACTTGCCTCCTTACATTACTGGCCTTAAAATAAACTGGGGTAGGCTTCAGCTTGACAGGTTCTATTCTAAATTATAGGTATAAAGAAGACAGGTAACCCATTATGGAAAAAAAGTATGACATTTCCCTGGAAAACATGCAAGAATACAAGTAAAAATGAAATTATACTATATACAAAGATTAAAAATTCAGTATGTTAAAGACATCAACTCCCCACTCACTTATGCAACTATGTGAAACAACCAATAGAGATTTGGTGTAGCAATTTACTAAATTGACTATAAATTTATAGAGAAAAACAAAAGCCCAATAACATCTTAGGAAGTTGAAAGGTCTTTTAACTAAGATACAAAGGAAAATTATGATACAATAAATCAGTGTGGCACTAGCGCAAAAACAGACATATCCCTATATGAAACAAAACAGGAAGTCCATAAACAGATAAATTTAATTTGTAACAGTGAAGGTAAGAAAGGATGTCATGAATGACACCAGAAGCCAACTTCACACATTTAATACATAACAATTTATTTGTTGAAAATAATCAAGAAGCTATTTTTTAAAACTTAACCAGAAATAGGCGTGGTGGTACATGCCTATAATCCCAGCACTCTAGAAGCTGAGGCAGGAGGATATGAGTTTGATACTAGCCTGGGCTACAAAGTGAGCTCAAGGCCAGCCCAAACTGCATCCTATCTCAAAAAGACCAAAAAAAATTTTTTAACCAGAGGCATTTTCCACTTAGGAGTTAACAAAGAATTTGTAATCCAAATACATAAAATTATTCTGGTATTCAACTCCTGGACAAAAAGTCTTCTGTTCTAGGAACCTACATTTGAATATGTTATCTAAAAGAGACTACTTACTTGTTTTAAAATAATTAAATCACCATCAAATACTAGAGTGCTTGCTGGGGGTACGACTCAATGGTAGGGCACTTGTAGCCCTGGCTCAGGAAAGGAAGAAAGGAGGGCAGGACTAGTCAGCCAAAGGGTAAAATGTGAACAGAAAGGAAAAGGCAGACTGGAGTCTACATAACCCTATATGAGAAAGCACACCGCCATCATTCTCCAAGGAGGAAAACCTTAACAGCTTAAAAAAAAAACTGGGAAAAGCTATATATTACTTTACCAAAAGAAAGTAAGCTAGTAATCCAGTACAAACAGAAGAGATAAAAACACAGACTTTAGAGCCCAACATGGAGCATTATGTCTGTGATAACAAAACTTTGGAAAGCTCAAGCAGGAAAACTGTAAGTTTGAGCCCACTTAGACAACTTAGTAACTTAGCAAAACCCAGATTCAAAATAAAAAATGAAAAAATCCTGAGCATGTAGCTCAATATGAAGGTCCCAGGTTCAACCCACAGTTCCACCAAACAAACCAAAGCAAAACAAAACCAGACCTCTTCCATCAGTCTCCACTGAAAGGTTTATGGCAATACAACATACATACTAACAAGTAACACAGATAATCATTTCATCTTATCTACCAGTTATTGCTATTTGGGTAGCACACCTTAGACTATTTATTCATCAAAAACCTATTTTATACTAAAAAGCTACAGATGAATATATATGTATATATTATATACGTATATTCACCTGTATGTGTGCATATATTATACATATATTCGTATGTACATATATCTATTATATATACATATATGATATATATATCTATTACACATTATACATGTAATACATTATACATAGATGTACATATACATATATGTAAACCAACATAGCAAAATGTTTTGTTACTGCTTTTTTAAACAGGTTCCTTAACTTTCAAGTTTAAAAATTATTTAAGATTACAGAGTCGGGGCTGGGGATTTAGCTCAGCGGCATAAGCGCCTGCCTTGCAAGCAGGCAGTCGTGAGTTCAATCCCTGGTACCTATAAGAAAAGAAAAAGACAAAAAAAAAAAAAAAAAAAAAAAAAAAGATTACAGAAGCACTGTAGATTTCATCAACTTGTGAAAGAATACTGAAAAAATGAACATTTTTCAAATATCACTAAAGAACTGGTAATTCGCTAGTGTTCAAATTGCAATGCAAACTACTCCACTCATGTTGAAAAATTAAATTAGACTGAGAAAACAATAAAGAAAAAATTAATGCCAGATGTGGTGGTGCATACCTATAATCTTAGCATTTCAGGAGACTAAGCCAGGAAGTTTACCATAAATTCAAGGCCAGCAAGTTTAGGGCCAGCTTGCACTATATAGTGAGACCCTGTCTCATAAAATCAGAAACAAGGGGCTGGGGATTTAGCTCAGCGGCATAAGCACCTGCCTTGCAAGCAGGCAGTCGTGAGTTTGATCCTTGGTACTGATAAAAAAAAAAATCAAAAACAAAAAAAGAGAAAGTAAAACAGTGTCCTACACTCAACTGTTGCACACCTTTGTATAGATGCAGTGTTATCAAGGTGCAGCAAACTCTCAAAAACACAAGAAGACATTTTGAGGAAAAAAATACAAGAGACAAGAGGAGCTACTAACTCACAAAAGATGACAAATTCAACATTAGTCTGTTTTATGCTTCTTCTGAAGGAGTCAGGTACAATATTTGTGAAGTGAGCTGTGGGAAGTTACTAAGAAAGAAAGCAAGTAACATGAAAATGTGGAACAGGACATGAGTTCACCAGTTATCAAATTTCAGTATTTGAGAGCTGTAGAGCCCCAGAGGTGTACATAATCTAACAGTAATAACTGTGGTTACAAATATAATAAATTTTATTTCCTGTTTGTTATGTTTTAAATGGCTACTTATAGTATAAATAAGTTGTTTTATTCTAACAATAAATACAATTCTGAAGTACGTCTTTTGTTCTAGGCACAAGACTCTAGGGGCACCATGAAACACCGCAATAACTAAAAACACTTGGGGTGTTACAAACCAGAAAGTACGGGAATCTCTGGCATAACTAATTGAAAATAATGGTTTTTACAGAAATATTTTCCTCCTAAAAGACGTTATCTTACTGATATTACATCCATAAATCTTATAAATAAGGTTCATTAAAAATTGTGTTAAAGTGAGAGGACTGAGCTTGGGATTTAGCTCAGCGGCATAAGTGCCTGCCTTGCAAGTGTGCGGTTGTGAATTCGAACCCTGGTACAGATAAAAATGAAAAAGACCAAAAAAAAAAAAAAAAAAAAAAGTGAGAGGACTTAGAATTGGGACATCTGGAATACAATAACCTAGAGTAAACAAAAAAAGAAGTACATGGCCAGGAATCAAAAGGACCTGAAAGGAAAACTAGAAACTACAGAGAAATTAAAGACAGCAGAGTAAACGAGCAAACAAATAGAATACTACTAAAATAATTTTAAAAACAAATTACCGATACGCAAAAATAAATTTAAAAATTTCAATTTCTAATTGAAAGAAGTCAGACTCAAAGTAAGTAAACAAACAAAAAACTTTAAGAAAATGCAAACTAATCTACAGAAAAAAAAGAAAAGCAAGTCAATCATTTCCTAGAGGAGGTGAGGGGGAAGAGGGGAAAAGGACAGAAGAGCAAATAATTTAAACATTCTTACATAGAAATAATTTAAACATTCTATCCATGGTTATATGCAATATTCAAAACTCATTAAATCTTACACTGTAAGTGGATACAACTTATGGTACATGAATTACAGCCTGTAAATTCTTAATGACATGTACTCTAAGTAAAAAGCACCAAACATCTAACATGGTAAGTTCTAATACAAATTCCATGGTAGCAAAGCAAGTCAGAAGGGCTTCATAGAGATAGTGGCATCTTTACTGGGACAGAAACATGATTGTTAGCAATGTACAGGGAGAGAAGAGAAAGAATATCCTAACAGGAAAGAAGAACATATAAGCAATCAGAGAGCTTCTGACAAACTAAGGACACTATACTTAGTGAGAGCCGAGAGAAGGAAAGTGTTCAGAGTGGCCAACATCAAGACCCAGGCCAGCAGAAGCAGGTAACATGAAACACTGCGTCATGGTAGAAAACCTGAGCTACATGGTTCAGGATGATGAAACTCTGTCATAGAAATTTTTAAATATAGGGAACAAAATAACTCTGCAGTACAAAAGAATGAGGTAACAACAAGCAGATGAACATGTAAGTTACAATAGTGACAGAGAAGGGAAACTCAAAGATTCAGAAAATACTCAGAAATTGTAACCTTGATAATGCATCAGCTACACCCTAAGAAGACAGTCAAAGATAATACTTTAGTTCTTGACTTGGGCAACTCTTTAAGGTGTACTCCTATGTAAGAGAAAG